AAGGTTTTCTCCGAATCTGCTTCTGAGCGATTACCTGCCCATCAGCCCTGGGATCACGCTATCGATCTTGTACCCGGAGCACCAGCAACCATGCGGACAAAGATCTACCCAATGTCCTTGAACGAGCAGGAGGAACTCGACCGCTTTCTAGAAGAAAACCTACGGAAAGGCTACATCGTTCCCTCGAAGTCACCCATCTCATCTCCAGTCTTCTTCGTGAAGAAGAAGGATGGGAAACTCCGTTTCGTACAGGACTACCGGAAACTGAATGAGTATACTGTGAAGAACCGATACCCTCTCCCATTAGTTGCTGATATCATTAGCCGGCTTCAGGGAGCGCGATATTTCACCAAGTTTGACGTTCGCTGGGGCTACAATAATGTGCGGATTAAGAAGGGGCATGAATGGAAAGGCGCATTTGCAACAACTCGGGGCTTGTTCGAGCCTAAGGTTATGTTCTTCGGTCTCACGAATTCCCCTGCCACATTCCAAGCACTTATGAATGCGATATTTGCTGATCTCATTGCAGCTGGCAAGGTGGCAGTCTACCTAGACGACATCCTCATATTCAGTAACGACCTCAAGGAACACCGACAAGTGGTACGGGAAGTATTAACGCGACTAGAAAAGCACGACCTCTATTTGCGCCCAGAGAAGTGTGAATTTGAACAGCAACAGATCGAATACCTGGGACTTATCATTTCAGAAGGGGAGGTGAGAATGGATCCGGTCAAAGTAGCAGCTGTTCGTGACTGGCCAGTCCCTACCAACCTCCGGGAACTGCGAGGATTTTTGGGGTTTGCAAACTTCTACCGGCGCTTTATCCGAAATTTTGCAAGAATAGCTCGACCTTTGAACGACCTAACCAAGAAGGATACCAGCTTTAACTGGACTGGTACACAACAGGAGGCATTTGACACCCTTCGAGAGGCCTTCATCTCCGCACCAATCCTTGCTCTATGGGCGCCAGATCGGCCCACTCGAATTGAGGTAGACGCATCAGGCTTTGCTACGGGAGGCGCCCTCATGCAGAAGCAAGACGATGGTCAGTGGCACCCGGTAGCCTTCAGATCGGCATCCATGCAGCCAGCAGAACGGAACTATGAAATATATGATCGGGAGATGCTTGCCATCATTGAAGCATTGAAGGACTGGAGGAATTTCCTGGAAGGACTTCCACAACCATTCGACATTATCACCGATCACTCCAACCTCGAATTCTGGCGCACAGCACAAGACCTTACCCGTCGACAAGCCCGATGGGCCCTCTATCTATCACGGTTTGATTTTCATATGATCCACCGTCCTGGCCGAGTAAACACCCAAGCTGATGCTCTTTCTCGTATGGCAGTACATCATGTATCAGATAGCGATGACAATCAGCAACAGACCGTCCTTAAACCTGGCCACTTCACCAAAATCGCCGCTTCAATCCTACGGAACCCCCTAGAGGATCGTATTCGGAAAGCCTCAGAACGGGAAGCACAAGTACTGGAAGGTCTGGAAACAGTCAAGAAGCACGGGTTACAACGCTTGGCCAATGGGATAGCTGAATGGGAGGAGGACAACGGGTTGGTCTATTACCGGGGCCGGGTATATGTACCAGCAGACAACAATCTACGCACCGAGGTACTCCGTCAATGCCATGATCATCCAACTGCTGGACATCCCGGATTACATGGGACACTTGACCTGGTCAGCACCCACTTCTGGTGGCCGACACTGCGTTCTTTTGTGGAGAAATACGTTGAGGGATGCGAGATTTGCGCCCGCAAGAAGATCCAACGGCACCCACGAGCTGTGACTCAACCACTGGATGTACCATCCGGCCTATGGGAAGAGGTAGGGGTCGACCTGATAACACAATTGCCTAACTCCCAGGGATACGACGCAGTCTTGGTCTGTACAGACCTGTATGGAAAACAAATCCATGCTATTCCTTGCACCAGCTCCATTACAGCCGAAGGTGTCGCCGATATCTATTACCGAGAAATCTTCCGTCTCCATGGTCTTCCCCTCCACTTCAAATCCGACCGCGGACCTCAGTTCGCAGCTAAACTCATGCGATCCCTCCTCGCTAGACTGGGAATTAAATCAGATCTAACCTCCGGATATCGTCCTCAGTCCAATGGCCAAACTGAACGCGCAAATCAGGAAGTGGAAAAATACAGCCGCCTCTATGTGGGACGACGACAAGATGACTGGGCAGAACACCTCCCCATGGCGGAGTTTGTGATTAACTCGCGGACTCACTCGGCCCTAGGCATGTCCCCATTCGAGTTAACCTACGGATACCTTCCCCTGTTCAATATCCCGGTTGGTCAACGCAGCGGCATTCCAGCGGTGGATGACCGCATACGGATTCTCCGAGAAGCGCGACAGGATGCTGGAGCTGCCTTACACCTAGGAAAGAAGCAACAAAAGGAGGGATACGAACGTGGGAAGCGAAAAGCGCATCAATTCAAAGTTGGGGACCTAGTTTGGCTAAGTGCGGAGGACATTAACCTGCAGCTATCCAGTGAAAAACTAGGAGACCGACAGCTAGGACCTTACCGTATTCTGGAGAAAGTCGGACCTCTGGATTACCGCCTTGACCTTCCCTTGTCATTAGACCGCCTTCATCCTGTCTTTCATGTCGACAAACTATATCCATGGAAAGGTAATCCCATCAATGGCGAAATACCAACACCACCAGAGCCGGTGTACTTAGAAGATGAAGATGAACCGGAATATGAAGTGGAGGAGATCTTGGACAGTCGGGTACGATGGAAGAAGTTGGAATATCTAGTAAAATGGAAAGGTTATGATGCAGGACACAACTCTTGGGAACCCGCACCCAACCTCAGCCGGGCGCCAAAAATTGTTCGGGCCTTTCACAAAAAACATCCGACAGCGGCAAAACCTTGACCATCGAGGGCAATGGTCATAAGGAGGGGGGTAATGTCATAAAGTACGCAGCCCCTATCATTTTCCCTTTCTCACCGTCTCGACGCCTTTACTTGTACAATACATCATCCCATCGCTGTCAATCTCCATCGATTACTGATCTATCTATTACTGATCCACCTGACCCACCTTCTCTTTCTATCGGCTTCCGCCTCCTTCCTTACCCCTGAACTGTACAGTATTACATCGTTGTTTCTCGCAGACTAGATTATGTATATATAGCCAACCCTCCACAGCCTGGTCCCTTATCTTGACCTCTCTGTCATTATCTGGGACCAGGTATGTGCTTACTTATTATTACCTATGACTACGATACTCAATATATCTCTGTCATTATCTGGGACCAGTTCGCCTCCGCTCCGCTTAGTCGCTCCGCCTCACTCACCTGCTTAGTCGCTCCGCCTCTCTGCCTGGCTTAGTCACCCCGCTTCCTGCTCCACTAGTCACTCCGCCTCTGCCGCTTCGTGACATGGTGGAGGTGGTGAAGATCTTGGTAGTGAAGATATTGGTGATGAGGGTCGGTCTAGTACTGGGCTAGGTGGTGGTGGGAATACAGGATATTCTGGTTCTGGAGCTGGTGCTGCTTCTGGCGTACCCTCTGGTTTCTGGGATGATGATGATGCGACCTGCTCTGGGGGTGCTCCTCGTCCAAGTATAAGGTCTTCTTGCTTTCTGTCAATAAGTCTAGCAAAGCCGGGGATATAACCAGTTGTTATTTTGTCGTATCTATTCGGACAAGGTTGATCTTTGCAAACTCTGTATTTGTTGCCATCGGGATCGTGATACCGATCCTTGACGTCGTCTTTATCGAAGATATGCTCCCTATGAGCACAAGCTGCAGTTGGCTTGGTTGGACGGTTATCGGCTTTGCGAGGAGGGTTAGTCCTTAATGACATAAATCAATGTATGCACCGTATTTCTTGTTTATTTAGGTTAGGGCGGGGCCCATAACCTGTTAGAATATAATCATGTTATATTCAGCAGCAATGGCAGTAAGAGATAGAGTGCACACAGCACTGTAGTTGATCACACAGATCAGACGATGAAGGAGTAGAGAGAACTACTTATTCGACAAGACGAATACTACAGGTTTATATACAAGTCCAAGGTAGACGATGTCATGTTACAGCTAAACATAGCGAGAGAGAAAGGAAGTACAATACGATGTATCCTACTGGTAGTCCTATAGTAATAGTACACAATGGTGGGATTGATAACACGACGGTGAGACTGATAACACGATAGTGAGATAGTGGTTTGTAACAAGAGAACAATGTTCCATAGATGGTATGTGAGTCATCAAATGTTAACAGTATTGATTATCTCTGCTTCAAGCTTCAATCACCATCAAATCCTCCAACCTCCGTCCTCAAGCATCCAAAATTTCATTGAATTGCATCTACCATCTTGCAGATGCTCAGCCTTGCCTATGACACTATAACTATACTGTGCATATAGGCTGTCTCTCTTGATTAGTTCCTCATTGCACAATTAATTTAACTTCAGTTGTGTACTACACCAACTGAGAATTCATTCAGAATTGAGTCTTAATAGCAGTGTAAGTGTTGATGTAAATTGCAGAGATATTACTATAAGTACTACCAGATCCATTACCCATGGAAATAAAATTATTAAAAGCAGAAAGTCCCCCTGAGAGTAGAAGCTCAAGAACATCCATGTCAATGGGGGAGGTATAGAGCACATTCAGAGGCAGTTGTTGCAATATTAGACCCATTTTCCTTGAGACACTACACAAAGTTGCTTGAGGTTCGACGTCGGACGCTTGACAACTCATCAATTGAAACTCCGGAATTTTCCGTGAAATCTGCCGTCATAATTAACGCTCCTTACCGGTCCATCCATCTGTGGCCAACCACCCTGCTTAAGCCCTGTATCTGCCTGTATCTGCCCGTGAAATGCACACTATTCGATGCGCCGACTCCCCCTTGAAAGTGCCAGACAACAGTGGCGGAATCATGGTATACCAGTAGCAAAACTCACTCCGCCGGACGTCGGTCTGATAAGCACCTCACTGCCTCTCGCTGCTTGACTCTTAATAAAGGAAACTCGGTGCACACATTGATCCCCGCCTGTGCTCCCCGTCTCACTGCAAGTCTTGGAGCTGGTCTCCAAATACGTCTATCACATCTCTTCAAACATGAATATTACATCTCATCGTATTCCGAGTAGTAAACGCTGGATCGTTATTATCGCTGGACTAGCTTGGTCACTTTTCGCGAGGATATGCTATGCTTCGCCCCTTCCTGCAATGCTGGGGCAGACAGGACTTGGTACTGTCATTTCCGATACCAATTCATCAGGTTCAGATTACGACGACTATCATTACACAAATCACACCGACTCGCAAATCCAGCCCCGGCACATTCAGCTCGATTCACGAGGGAAGGGGTTGAAGAAGAGCTTAATCAGAGCTGCTCTCTGGTTAAATCCGGACTGGGCTTTGCTGGGCTTTGCGTATGTGACACCGGTGAGCCTGATTGATATAATTAACACAATATCTCTTCTCATCGAGGGCTTAACAGGAAGAAGGAGAGGTGGTTGGCGATGGTAATGGGGTTCAACTCGGAACTCTGAAACTTCCTACTATGCAACTGGACTCGACGAAAACCCCAGGTTTTATATATCTCCAACCAAAGCTTGGTATGCCAGCTCAGAATCCCGATGTGAGTGTATCAAATTAAATAGACACTGATATTCACGTCTTTTTATTGTCAGAATCGCTATTGGACTGTAAGTGGTAGATGAGGATTTTTTCCTAAGTTTTGCTGTCAACCCCGGGCCTTATTCAGTGCCTGGTATATGCCTCAAAGAAGAACATCAACAAATTCAAGCCTCAAATGGTGCGTAGTACAATCGGTTACGAATATACCTCACACGTTGTCACGGCTGCTATTAACTTTTTTCTTTGCTCAGTTCTACAGGTCGGAACTCGCACCAAATCAATCCCCACCCCCTTATACACATTCTTCGACTGCCGACGACCGAGTAAACTCTCAAGCGATCACTTTTTTTAGTGATCCCAGTTTCGCTGGAGTTACCGTGATGCAGGTGCCATTCTCTGCTAAATTTGTCAGCGATTGGCAATTGCTTGCAGAATGTTATAAATGTCAGTTACTTTCCCGTACTTTCTCATATTCGCTTAATGACGCACCATGCGCTCTCTCAAATCTAGCTCCCAACAAACTCCCGAAGGAAGTAAAGCCTAGTTGGGATTCATGGAAGGAGAAAATTGAAGGATTGCCCAAGGGCATGAATCTGGTACGATAAAAGTATATGAAGGTCTGTTGACTACATATAACACGAGCCTGTGGGACATGGATTGCGGAAACAGATGAGTGGCGCCTAGCCTTCTCGTATTTTACCATCCGTGTCCTTCTCTTCGAACTGGAGACTAGAGGACGTTCCTACCATGATCCAGAATATAAAGCTCTTTCTTTCATCCTAATTTCATGCCAATGGAGACGATTCAGTTCCGCTTTGGATTTCGGATATTGAGGGTTTGGGTGATTTTAGTGCTCACTGTTTTTTCTTTTTCATATTGGCCGTCGGTTGACTCTCATTCTTTGAAAGGAATAGCCTCTAATAGCCTCTATAAGATAAGCCTTTGCATCATCGGACTACCGACCCTGGTGAAAGAAAAAGAAAGACAACCGACACGGTCCCACAGTCAAGGAACAGTGAGGCAATTCGGTGTTCAGATCTTGGCCGTTTAATATTCCTTCCTTCCTTCCTATGTATAAAATGGCGCCATGAAACCAAGCGATTCCCCTGAATCTGCTGGCCAGCTTCCTCGTTGAAAGTGGATTTTTTGTGGCGTCAAAAAAGCCCTCCGCCGCCCGATCCTCCCTAGTGAGTACATTCTCTGTACTTAGGACCCTATCATATACTAAAACATTGTGAACAGTCTCGCTTCGACAATGCATCTTACGTTTCCCTACTTCGTCTTTGTTCTCTCTTATGTGCACGCTGCACCAGCCCTTGTTGTCAGTCCCTATTTTCATTCATATACAAATTAAACGTACCAACACTAAGCAATTCTACAGCCTAGGGTGGCTGGTCCTCCACAAAGAACTGAACCCAAGTTCCATCTCAAATTCATCGAGCCATCTGTAGGCTCTCTCAAGCCTGAAGAGCTGATTCGAGATCGAATTCGAGCAGCGATTAAGACGGCGCCAAATTATGGATCGATTTTCGAATATGTTGTATACGACAATCAGTGCAACATTGAAGATCCACGTTTTGCAGGGGAGATTACCGTGAAGTTCTGGACAAACGTGAAGGACGCTACGGACGGTTGCACCGAGAAAAGTCCGTGTACTGGCAAAGTCGTTCAAAACGGTGACTCTAACAGCTTGATAAGGGTTGTGGAAGGTCAATGAGTCAGTTGTCGAAACATAAGGGACATCTATTCTGGAGGACTTGTGCCTCCTCCTCCCAGTGATTCGACAAGTTCAATGTGTATTCGTTTATAAAAGATTGTTAGGCCGAGCGTGAAGCTTGAAGTTTCAAATCTATGTAGCACGTCCCTCTGGATCCGAGTCTGACCTCTCTTAACTCGAGCATTACTTTCTGACGACGGGCGGCCACAGGTTCAAAGCGGCACCTGACTTTTTGAGATCTCTTTCTATTGTCTGTTCGTTGCTCGTCGTGTCAAATTATTCAAGCAGCGTTGCCATCTGCGTGCACAGAAGAGCGAAGTTAACGGCTAGGGTCCAACAATTGACTCGTCTATCCTGGGTAGACTTCATGGCTAGAGGTGTGTACTCGTTCTGGGATAATATTTGGATATTGGTTAATAATTCTGGTGAACTACAGTTAACCGACGCACGCCCTCGGTGCGCATAAACTTGAATCAATCAGCACCTACAAAACTCGGCTTTCGTGCAATTTTCAGTGAAGTGGATAATTATCGTGACTCAGCTCAGACAAAACTATCAGACGTGTTTGCGCTACGATCGCGATGGATATAGGAACATATATACATTAGTTCGTCTGATTAATCTGGATCTGTATAAGGGATGATGCATTGAGTCGAAACTGATGAATTTCTGGCTCATCTGGTACGTTACCTCTATATCTACATTCTTCAAGCTTCTCAAGTGCTATACCATTCACACATCGAGAACTCCCTGCCCATCTCAATGCCCGTTTACAGCCAACGTGGACCTTTCTTCCTTGCGAAATAGAATCATCTATCCATTCACTCTACACCCGTTCTGTAAGGTAAAGAAGGACAACCATCAAAATGTGCTGCCTGGTCTATTCCCGCCGGATCCCCGCCGACAGTCCACACCAACACGGATATTCTGAATCTGAATGCCCGCAAAGCCACATCATCTTTACCACCATCCGGGCCACATCCGGGCCAATTTCACGTCTACAGGTGGATGCGCCTATCTTCTCGTATGTCATCTTGAACGTTCAATTGCAACGTTCGAGACGACGGATCCAACCCCCACCCCATCAATATCACTTACGACTTATCAATACTGTCGATCCTATTCCATTTAGTCAGGCTATGTAGCCAATCTTACGCGGTTTTGTGCGCACAATTCCGTGACTTAAAATTGTGGAAAAGACGGAAATCTTACGCTACTTAATATCCCCTTGATAAGATGAGGTGCTAGGATTAGATAAAAGAATTTTCATTGGGAAGCCACTCTTGTACGTTGATTCAGTCTACGGAAAATATTGAGCATGGGTTATTCGAGTTCCTGTTCTGGATCTACTTAGACTGAGTAAAAACATTGCTTGTCACTGGTGAACATGATGTGGAATATAGAGATAGAAAAGCTCGACCTCAGAACATGGTCAAGAAAATCCTTCATGAAATTTAGAAATCCTAGCTGTATGGCGACTGGGCAATGCCACTATAGTTCAGCCATTGGATTTCTGCATGACAATATTCACGCTATGGGAACGTCATTCAAGCGGCATTTATGTAGCATAAGTGTATCATTGACTCACAATTTTATCCTCAGGTGTGCCCTTCGTAATGAAATAACGCTGGTGCCAACCCAACAACGTTATTTCCGGTTTCTCGGTAGGATCACCACTGATGTGGACCAAAACATGATAAGATAGATCGAGGCCTCTGTGAAAGAAGACAGGTGGATAAACAAAACAAAATCTAGTGGGGAGTAAGCAGTTCACATACACATATAGGACTTGGTATTCAGTTGCAAAGTACACAACCTTATCGCAAACCGCATCCCAGACCTCTTTCTCCCGGTGTTGAGCTTTGCGCTTTTTTAACTCTACTTCCATCGGCCAACCAATCCTCCCGCGAATGATCATGGCAGCGGCTCCATTAGCAGCGCGACCAACATCGACAAGCTGTTTGGTATATTTGAGAGCGTCGACCGCGCGAGCGCGTTTACATTTATAATCGAGTGCTATGAGCACCTTTTCGCCTTCTTCTACCTTGTTTCCTTCGTGGTCTTTGTTGGAGTTGTAGTCGAACACGCGTGCAACTTTGGCCCACCCGAGCTCGACATACTGGCTGACCATTGGCTTGGGCTGAGCCAGTGGAGATTCTATAGAAGATCAAACTTGGTCTCTTTTGCAATTTTGAGGTTTAGGCGACATACTGAAAACTGCTGTTTTATCTACAGAGGGAAAAGGTGGGGATGGAGCATTGCTATCGAGAAAAACCCAGTCCTGGCAGTCAGATTAGTAGTGTTTATATCAAGAGCGATAGTTGCTAACGGGTTGATCAGGACGACCGGGATGCGGTAAGGCATATATGTGAGTAATATCCAGAATACATCCTGCGATGAACAGGGTGTAATGAAGAAAGAACATGACAATGGAATGGAATAAGCGCGATAACTACGATAACCACCAGGGTTTTAGCTGACCAGCAGAAGAAAAAACGAAATCAAAGGACTAAGTGAAACGGAAGGGGGGAAAAGGAAGAGGGGGTCCTCAAGGGCTTTTATAAGGGTCCAAAAACCATTCGGCGTGCCACGTGGAAAAATCGCGGGCTAATTTCACGCAGGCGGTGAATAGTCGAAGGGTGACTCCAATTGACTACACACAGAGTACGTTCAACGTTCCTGTAACATATTGACAAAGAACTGATCTCTAGACTGTCAGTGTATGCTCACCGTGAATTTGGAATTATACACACGTTGGCGTTGTGGGATTTCCTCGAGCCTGAACACCAATGACACTCATAGGACCAAACGTAGACGGCGAAGGGATAGCAGGGGCTACGAAATGACTCAGACAGCGAGTATCGTCTAGCATGTAGTTGATTTGAATACGGCAGGAAATCAAAGAGGCTGCTGGGTATTTTGAGAGAACCTAAAGGGGGGATGAGAACTGTGACGCTGAGGAAAATCTAGGGAAAGGACTTCTCATAGTCCTTTCATCGAAAAACAACACGAATGGATGATAAAATATTTGCCGAAGTAACATTTTTGAGCATCCGAAGTACGATCCTTGAGGGATTGCGTCTCAGAGTCGTACGGGATCACAATACTTAAGCTCAGCTTGAGAGAGCTTGAGCTTGTAAAATGTTCTTTGTTCCGTTCGTGCCAATTGAAACTTCAGGCCCAGGGCGCTTATTTGCAATTCCCTTCTTATAACCCGCTTTAGCATCTAGCTAATTCGGGATCCTTGGTGCAACTATAATTTTTCCCGGTTGTTTTTGTGACTGCGTATCTTCCAAGGTGCCTCATGCGTCTTAACGCATCACAGCCGTGTCTTCACACTTTCTGACACCCTTTGTGCTCAAGAACGACGGGCGAATAACGGCTGGTAAAACCGGGTGTGTCTTATTACCTCGAACCTAGTCTCAATTTGATGTTGGGTGCGTAGGTGTGATGAAAGGGCTGCATTAGAGAGAGGCAGATGGCCTGGGATATTGGGACGATCGACGCTATGGACACCCAAAACGAAATCCTAATCACCACAATGACGACAACGACGGAAGGATAGCAGAATCTTCATACACCCCTGATGTCTTCGATAGACATGGATACCGTGCATACGACCATCCACCCAGACGTTATCTATTACAATCAACCTTGCGGATCCATCTGAACGTCGAATAAAACTTTTTCAATCAGTGCACGAAGAGGCGAGATTCCTCATCCACTATGAAGCTGGGAAGAAACAAAGCCCCTCCTTTCTTCTCTTCCCTTCTTACTTTCTTACACGAAAACGGACACCTCAGCGTAACGAATATTGTGGAGGCTGGTGAAGGCCAGGAATCTGAGGATCTGTCTCTGGATTTCGAGTCCAAAGTCAGTAACAGGGTCACCACTCTCTTTTCCGCAACTAATGCCTTCCGGCGTCGAGCGTCTCGCACGGAAATACCTTAAACGGCCAACAACCATCACGATTGGTGAAACTGATCACGTTCTGGACACCGTCGATCTGTTTGGAAAAAGAGAGAAAAAATGCGTCGAATGCACGGGGTTCCACGCGACTTCGTACGATGTTGAGCACTCACATGTCCATGTTCTCCTATGCCGTGTAGTGAGATCAACGGGTAATTCGATTTGGGATTCTCAAAGAAGTTGATGAGCCTGTGCTAGAGAATATCGATGGACTTGGGAAGATGAGGTGAAGTGAACGGTCAGACGGGCGTGGTCGCCGTCGCCTGCCAGAGGTCGAAGCGGAGAAAGTGGAGGTGGGACCGACATGCAAACTTTGATTTACGGTTCCATCCTTGCACTTTCGGCCTCGTATCTTCAATTCCTTTCTCCCATACTTAACGGCACACTGCAATGAAATCGAACTATCAGCGAGACGTGCCATCGATAGCACCACCTTTCAGGCATTTCATGAACTCGCAATCGAATACTGTACGTTCCACGGATCGATGGATTGTCGGATATTCACAACGGACCTCAGTGAGATCCTTCTGTCCTTATTTAACCTGTCCCGCTCGCAGGCAGGCTCAGTTGCATGCTGCGAGCTTTACGAATGAAATATAACGAGTGACTATCAATTTTCAAAGAGATGAAATGATGATGGAAATAACCAACGGTTTTTTTCCGAATCTCCTAACGACGTTTCAAGCGTGCTCAGTAGATCCATGTGAGTCTGGAGATCACTTCCACGATGTGTAAGTTGTTTAGTGTTGACCTGCTTTGGTATCAGGAACAGCTGAGGCTGTAATCAATGTGAAATGATAGAGCCACTGAGAAATGTAGCAAGTGTAGTTGCAGGTAGCGCTGAGACCAGGATCGTGCTTCGACACCTCCGGGACGTATGTGAGCCTCCTTCGTCTGGTTCGGAGGGGGCCTTTGGCTTCTCCATTCCCAAGTAGGTCTCACATGGGGTGCTTGTTTCGAAATTCTATTCACAGGTCAAGTAGCTCAGCAGCATCCGCACACATCCGCCACAATCCGACTCCAGGTTCGTTGCAAGCCGAATAACTCTCATGATGAGGTTGCCGGCTTTCGCTATTCAGCCAAACGTCGACGAATGCACAAATAACTTTCACGTGCACGGTCCGCAGGACCGCTGACGACCAGGCTTGGAACGAACCTAATCCGACTCCGTGGTGCGATAGCAATCTATAGCCCTCTAACCCTCTATTCAACATCGAATCTCGAAAACAGACCCACTTATTTTTGGCAAAGAACAACTGTGAGGCTTTGCCCCCAGAGAAATCGCTTGGGGGGCAAAGAAATCGCTTGGAACCCAATACGAGTCTCAACTCTTGTCCTTCGAAATAATGCAAGACTGTTGGGTTTCTTTTGCTGCACTTGTGAAAAGACACAATGAATAAAACAACGCCACATATACTGGGAGAGAGGGGGTAAATGGTTACTTGTTCACAGGAATGCAAATTTGTTGAAGGTTTCTGATGTGAGAAGATACATCGATTAATGAACTGCTCGTACGTAGAACAAGGAGGATAAACATCTGCCAATCTTTTTTTGCAACTGCCGAGCACACAGAACATTCCTCACATTCGAAATCAGGTATACAATTGCCCTTGTTGAGTGTCCCTGGAATTGTTCTGGTTTTTCTGACTTCTTATCTCAACTCTATAGCTGCATATCATATGTCCATGCGTCTCCATCTCTTGGTCCTCACCTCTTCCTCCTGTTGTGGGTCCATAAATTCCACCGCTATTGTTCAAGTCACTTTGAGCGGTTATCGATGATGCTTCGTGAAAGCTCATTTAGACTTGAATCCTAAAAAAGGTTTAATTATTCTGATTGTAGAAGAGGGCGTTGTGCTGTTCCACAGCATTCTCGTGTAGGGCTCATGTTAGAGTGAGTCAATGTCACAGAACAATTCACTGTCAAACGAGAAGAGCCAAATTGGGAACAATAGGTAGTTTGAAATAACAATACATCGATTTTAGGACGAAGACATGCAAATAATATGCTTATAAGAGACCTGTTTCTTCCTTATTGCCCTCAGATTGATCATTGCCCATCGTCGCTCTAACATGTCTAACAACCAACCGACGAACTATCCGAGAACACGAAAAGCAACCGCCTTGCAGAATATGGGGGCTAGAGACGTCACGGTATCGTCGAGCCAAGTACCTAGCAGTGCTCAACGCGAGGAAGCATCTCGACGAAACGAACCTCCACGTTCAGCGCACATTCCTTCCACAGAGGAAGTGCCTTCTCGATTGAGCGAAGGAACGATTAACCTTCCGACTGGCGTCGGTACCGGTGGTCCCGCTCTTATTTCTGCCCCAGGTCAAATCGATCCAACAATGCTTGCACCGTCTATGCAAGGTTTCCCGCTTCCGACAGGCACAAATCCCGAGCGCCCGTCAACGCCGCTCCGTATACACCACGTCTCCGACTCTGTGACCTATTTCGCGACCCCTAGCAGCCATCATAGTGGCTCATACACTGGAGCTCTTCCTGTCGACGAATCTCACACGGTCGAGGAAGCGTATAGATACCTGCAGATGGATTTAGAAGCTGTTAGGATCCTTCCTGTCGAGAAATGGGCTTTGTGTTGCCTAAATATTGATATCAACAAAGGTCGGGAGAAGCTACTTCCAGGAGTTAAAAAGGCTTTCGATAAGTATCTGGAGATTGTGGATGACGCGAAAAACGAGAAGGACCCAAGACTATATCCCGCTCTTGTCGCGACATTTGACTTATGTACAAACGGGGACTCAGACACGCTTGTGTTCTATCGACAAGATCCTAGTAAAATCGCAGGGTCCTTGGTTCTCGAATCTCCAGACATCGGAGCAGTCTTCAAAGAGCTTCTTGAAGACCCTACTAAGGTTAAAAGGAAGAATCTGGAATTGAAGGAGGGTGAAAGGACTATGTGGGCCCATATGCATGGTTTGATCGAGGTCAAGCATCAACACGGAGTCATTGTTGACGGAGAGTGTAAGTGCCTACTTACACTCTCACTATCACTGTGTTCTCATTGGTCTTTTCAGTCGGAAGAGATGCAGGCAAGATATACAGGATGAAGAAAGATCAAGAGCAGGCAAAGGTGACTAGCGATAAATCGAAGGTAAACAAGAATACGAACAAGCGAGACCGAGATGACTCAGGTATACAGAAGCTTATCAAACATCCTCCAGATACTGAAGCATGAATGATTAGATGTGGACGAGGACATCAATAAACCTGTGTCGAAGACCAGACGCAGCAACACACCGGTTCAGTCCACTAGCAACAGCAGAGTTTCCAGTCAGCATACATTTGAAGACGATCTAAAGCGAACAAAGAAGGATCTGGCAAAGAGAGCAAGGCAACAGCTCGGCGGCTATGCACGTGACGCTCTCTCATTCGGATTTCCTCGGTCTCACTTTATCTTATTTATTGTTGACTCTAAACTTGTTCGTGGCATTTTCTACGACCGTTCGGTAGCTATGAATCCGTTTGCTTTTGGCTTGATCTGTACTCATCTTCAATTTCAGGCAATCGTTGAGTCTGGGGTAAGTGTCCCGAAGTCTTTCCCCCCGTGTCTTTGCGTGAATTGAATAAACATACAAGATATTGGATCTCCGAAAGAGTAAAGACCGACTTATTTTTAGCAAGATGATCCAACGATTGCGCGGCTTGTCGCCAGAAGCGCTCGGAATGGTACCTGGCTTCAACACGAGTTTCATGAAAGACCCCACTACTCTCCAGTATCCTGGTCCTGCAAACGACAAGGGGTTTACGTCAAGTGGAATATTCGATTTCAAGGAAGGATCTTCTTTCACATTTCCCTATGGCAAGAAGGGAACGCGCACTGTGAAGGTGGGGCGTGTCCTGTTTCGCTCAAACGGTGTACTTGGTCGGGGGCCCATAGTAATGCAAGTAACGTGTGTCTGCAAGGGTAGCAGTCGGTGCGATTGGTGCGGGAAGAAGCTAGTTCTAAAGCTCAGCTTTCCTAGCAAAACTCGAGCATCCGAGAAGGTGTTCATGGATAAATGCAAGGAGAAGGCGACGGGAGAACACGCCTGGGTACTCAACCACTTGCCTGAAATCTACTATTCATTCGACATCGAGTTCTCTGCGGAGTCGCCGCAGGCTCAGTTGAAGGGAATTTTCGGGGAAGAGTACGAGATGCGTGTCGTGCGTGGCATCATTCTGGAGGAATTGCATCCACTGTCAACTTTGAAGACTGAGAGGGAATGTGCGCAAGTGTTCTATGATATTGTCCAATGTGAGCTACATTCATCGTCACTATCATCTATCTTACACCCAATTCCCTAGGTCATCATTGGGCTTGGAAATATCCTCAAATCCTTCATCGCGATATCAGTGAGGGTAATATCATGGTCCGCGAAAAGAATGGGCAGAAATATGGTGTATTAAATGATTGGGACCTTGCGGCCTGGTTGAGCACGCAAAATGAAGTGTCGACATCCAAGTTTCGAACGGGCACTAAACCGTACATGGCGCATGAACAACACTCGTCTAAATGGCAAGGTCCACATCGGTTCCGCCACGATTTGGAGTCCGTCTTCTACGTTATTCTCTTACTGGTTTCTCTTTATTCCAGTCCCACTGAGAAGGTCCGTTTTCCTTCTACTGGAGACCATCGTTATGAGAAGTGGCATAAGCAGGATGATGGAGTTCTTCTTGGGCAGAAAGGAAATATTGTTCGTGCTGGGGATTGGCAACCCTTCCCGCAGCCCTTCTTCAGCGGCTTCACTTTGTGGTTGGCCGCCCTTCAAAAAAATTTGCGTCGTGGTATAGTCAACCTGGAGAATCACAAGGAGGCAGTGTTAGCAGCAAAACAAGCCCGCGAGAATAACGAAGAACCCATGGAGGTACCTTTCTTCGAAGATGATACCCTAGGTGGCCATTTTTCTTACGAAAAAGTTGTTTCTGTCATGCATCGATTCAAGAAGGAGGAGCTCAACACCCGTGGTTGTGAATGGCAGAAGATACTCCAAGTGCCATTTTAAGAGGTCAAGCCTTCTGGGTCGGACTTCAGCCCCAGGGATCTGTTCTCTACCTTTTAATCATTCAATGCTACCGAATGTCGGCCGTTATGCCTTTGTACAACTTTATACAGCTCTCTACAATCGGTGTATCAATTTTTTGCTTATTTGGTGGCAATCTACTGTACTTGTGTAGCTCGATTGCATGCGAGCTTTACGCACACAGCGTAACGAGTGACAGTCAGTATTCAAAGAGACGAAATGATAATGGAAACAAACAACGGTTTTTCTCCGAGTCTCCTAACGAAGTTTCAAGGGTGCTCAGTATATCCATGTGAGCCTGAAGATCAATGTGTTTGACAATCTTGACCTGCTTCGATATCAGGAATAGCTGGGGCTTTGATCAATGTAAAATGATAGATCCACCAGATGTAGCAGGTGTAGCAGGTGTAGCAGGATTCTGGTATTTGTTGACAGTCTCGGGATGACGACGGCCCGGCAGAAGATGCGCTGAAATCAGGTTCGACACCTCCGGGACGCATGTGAGCCTTCTTCGTCTGGCTAAGGGGGCCTTTGGCCTCTCAAATTCCAAGTAGGGCTCACATGTGGTGCTCGTTTCAAAAATTTAGCGCTTTCAAATCGGTGGCACCTTTCCCGGCAGCATCCGCACACATCCACGGGTGATCCGACTCCGTAGGAGTTTGCGCACCAGCAATTTTCTTTACATTCCTCTAACATAATAAATATTGAAACTCGAAAACAATGAAGACCGATTTACTTTCGCAAGAAACAACTGTGCGGCTTGTCCCCAGAGAAGCACCCGGAATAGTACCTGGTTTCAACACAAGTTTCATGAAAGACCCCACCACTCTCCAGTATCCTGATCCTGCAAACGACGAGGGGCATCCGTCAAGTGGAAGAATTGAATTCAAGGAAGGATTTTCTTTCACATTTCCCTGCGGAAAGAAGGGAACACGAACTGTGAAGATGGGGCGTGTTCTGTTTCGCTCAAACGGTGTAATTGGTCGGGGGTCCATGGTAATGCGAGTAACATGCGTCTGCGAGAGTAGCAGTCAGTGCGATTGGTCCGGGAAGAAACTGGTTTTGAAACTCAGCTTTCCTAGCAAAACTCGAGCATCCGAGAAGGCGTTCATGGATAAATGTAAGGAGAAGGCGACGGGAGAACACGCCTGGGTACTCAACCACTTGCCTGAAATCTACTATTCATTCGACATCGACTGTTCTGCGGAGTCGCCGCAGGCTCAGTTAAAGGAAATTTTTGGGGAAGAGTACGAGATGCATGTGGTGCGTGGCATTATTATGGAGGAATTGCATCCACTGTCAACTTTTAAGACTGAGAAGGAATGTGCGCAAGTGTTCTATGATATTGTTCAATGTGAGTTACATTCATCCTCACTATCATCTATCTTACACCCCATTCCCTAGGTCATCATTGGGCTTGGAAATATCCTCAAATCCTTCATCGCGATATCAGTGAGGGTAATATCATGGTCCGCGAAAAGAATGGACAGAAATACGGTGTATTAAATGATTGGGATCTTGCGAGCTGGTTGAGCACGCAAAATGAAGTGTCGACATCCAAGTTTCGAACGGGCACTAAACCGTACATGGCGCATGAACAACACTCGTCTAAATGGCAAGGTCCACATCGGTTCCGCCACGATTTGGAGTCCGTCTTCTACGTTATTCTCTTACTGGTTTCCCTTTATTCCAGTCCTGCTGAGAAGGTCCGTTTTCCTTCTACTGGAGACCAGAGTCGTTATGAGAAGTGGCACAAAGAGGACGATGGCTTTCTTGACGGGAGAAAATCGAAGATTATTAACGGTGGGAATTGGCAACCCTCCCCGCAGCCCTTCTTCAGCGGCTTCACTTGCCATTGTGGTTGGCCGCCCTTCAAAAAAATTTGCGTCGTGGTATAGTCAACCTGGAGAATCACAAGGAGGCAGTGTTAGCAGCAAAACAACCGCTCAAGCCAGGGAGGCGACCACCCGAGGTGCCATTTTTTGACGAGGATACCCTAGGCGGATATTTCTCATACAAGAAAGTCGTCATGATCTTGCACCAGTTCAAACAAGAAGAACTCAGAACTAGGGGTCACGAGTGGCAAGTAACACTAGAGGAAGCATCTTCTGAAGATTGGGAGTCAGAAGAGTCGGAGGAGAACTAATAACAACGTCGATTGTCTTGAATGCACAGAACCATCTAATATCTTGCCAGGGAAAGAGAGTGGGATGGATTCGATGATTACTCACAGTAGTATGCCGTGATATTGTACATACATACCTTGAGGCTTGAAGATAAAACTTCTTCGTCAAGGCATGCAGGCTCAGGCAAATACATCGTTGCAAATTTGCATTCTTCGACTGAACGAGCTGATAGACACTGATTTTACCACAAAGTCTATAGCCATTGGCCAGAGTTCGCAATTTCGAAAGGTCCTTCTCCATCTTATCATTGACCTTACTATCTATTTCTATGCTTGGACCTGCTGCTGAAACAGTAAAACTACATTCGCGGTATCAGATAAGAGTACAGCATTCCAAAAACTAGATGCTATCTAGACTATTTAGACTTTCATTCCTCGTTTCTCGCACGAATAGCTTCAAACTTCGCAGTGAAGTCATCCATTGCATCCAAGGTAGACAGGAAATGTTTGAACGAAAGCGGTTCGCCTCTTCCAACAGCAAGGGATTGTGCAGTGCGTGCAGCGTTTTTGATCTGTCTGCCGTTCACATTCCTCATCGCAAGAAGACGAAGCTGCTCAGGGTTAACGGCAGCAGTGGCTCCAACCTTGGCGATGAACGCGGTCCACACTTGTATCTTTGATTCAAATGGAAGTTCGTGGAAGTGGAGGGCGACATGAATCCGAGAGAGGAATGCTTCATCAAATGCCTTGACTCGATTAGTGGTTAGGAAGAGGATCCCACGGTAGTATTCGACATGTCTCAAGCTATGAACAAATGAGTTAAGAGATCAACTGTGTATGGGTTAGGCGACTCACAAGACAGCGACCATCGCATTACGTTCAAGATCATGCAATGAACGTTGCTCAAGGAATACATCCGCCTAGTAGTGGACATTTTTAATCTGAAGATTTTCGGGCTCGTATCAGGATAAAACGTACTTCGTCAATGAGGACAATCGCTTTCCAAGCAGTCGCAACCTCAAACACTCGCTCGAGCGCGAGGTCCAAGTTTGCGGCGGTGGTCCCAAGATCTCCAGCTCCGATGAGGTAAAGTGGCTGCTTGACATGCTCGCTCGTAGCCTCGGCGGAAAAGGTTTTCCCTATTACACGTTCGTTACTAAGTATACTTCTATCTTGATAGTTGCTACTCACCAACACCAGGAGGCCCAAAAAGGTTTATTACAAGACCTTGACCTTTTCCCTTGATAAAATCATCAAATCCAACCTTAAGGTGATGAGCTTCGACTAGGGATTGGAGAAGATCTTTCCTATCCTCTGGTAAAACTAGGTTAGAAAAGGCATCCTGATTCCAATCGACATCAGTAATCCTCTCAACATCGAATTCCACTGTATGTTTGGTAGGAATTCAGACTCGAAAAGTTTGTATGTTTGAGGACAAAACTCACACCAAAGCTTGTCAGAAAGGCTGAATCCATACACTGTTGTCGGTGTCAGAAGCAGTTCCTCTTCTGTGAACCTGTTCGCTTCTCCGGATTCGTTGTCCGTCCCTGAGCGTGCATAGACAAGGGTTCCTACAAAGTTGCTGGTGAGCAAAATACTGCATAATGTATGTCGATGAAACAACACAACATACCATTCGAAAATTCGTCAGCATTGGCGGCTCGATCGCTAGTATCATTGATAATTGCTTCGTCCTGAAAGGTTTCTGGATATTGGTAATTTGGATTGAAGCGGCGAAAGGTGACTATGAATGGCACATGGTAAGGGATGATGGACGATAAACACAGGGCAAAACAATGAACACACCTCTATCAATCATGATACGGCCTTTCACCTGCTCAACCAATGTCAATCGTCGAGTATGGTTAATAGGAGAGACTAATCTCACAGTTTGCCTAATCAAGCGCTTTTCGTGTTTGATGGCGGCTACGCCATCGAATTCCTTGTGATGCACCCCAATCAAGTCAACCCATTTCTTTGCCCTGCTCAAGATGGAAACCCGAAGGCTCTCACATTCAGGGTGAAACTTCAGAGGGTACACATCGAGATCTTGAATCTTAACGGTCCCATCGAACGCGTTGAGGGCAACAACGGTACGGACTCTACCTGCACCCACAGTTTGCGAAACGTGTCTATCAACCAAATCAATGCTCTCCAGGTCGAGGCGAATGCATCGCGGTTTATCATCAATCATCACATGGCTGTAAGAGATGAGTTTGAAGAGACGATGATTGCCAGTGATTGCACAACGAGCGACAAAGATAGAACGAGGGACAAGAATGGAATAAAGTAACTTGCTGGTAATCTCGCCGTGAGCTTTGAGCTTTTGAATGGTGGCAATGGTGTTGGCGTAATCCGTCTGAAGACACTTCAGAAGAACGTCGACTGATTGAAGGACGTATGTGTCGATATCTGATTTCTTATACTTGGAAGCTAATTCATCGCGATAGGCAATGAACTCGTCCAAAAATGTGAGAAAAATCTCTGGGTCAATTTCTTCGGTGAAGGGGGTCAATATTCTGAATCAGAATGGAATGGATGTCATACCAAGTGGATCACTGTTCCAAGAGATTCCAGGCCAGGACTGGATAACATCCTTACACGCCTTGAGAATGTATTCGCTCTTCACAACGAACCTGAAGCTCGGTTCCTTGCTACCGGTAGCATTGCTATCAGGAAGTCTTCGTACAATGCTAAATATTTTCATCAGGACGAAGACAGCTAGTGAAAAAACAGATTCGCGTACACAAACAAATAATCCTTCCAAGGATCATTTTCCCCTCGATTGATTAGAGGAACAGACTCCACAGTAATTGTAGAGCTAGTGTTCTACCCTCGGTTTCGGGTGAAAAATTTAAGTCTTCAAGAACAGATGGTATTGCATACCCTATATCTCCATGCCTTATACCATCGGCTGTAGTAGTGATCCACTCGTTTGATTTTGAGGGAAGGGGGAGCGACTGCCTCATGGACAATGGTAGAGGCTGTGGAATCAGTGTCCTTCTCGTCAGTGTGGGCCGAACTTGGCACTTTCCCAGAAGACTTCGCAAACGAAGAGATTCTCCTATGCATTAGAGTTGAAGGACGGGGGTTTGGCCTTTCGCATATATGATGTTCTTCTTTTATATTACAGGAGGCGTAGTCCGTCTCCTATCAACCCCGAATGAACTCCGAAAGCTGTAAAAAATATCATAACAGGTCATATTAATTGACGACGCCCTTCCTGTGCTCTAATAGCTGTAAAATGACTTCATATTCTGATTGACAGCATGTTCAATGCGCGCGCGCGTCCAGCGCTCGAAGTAGATAATGACTGGATGAGAATATAGTGGTGTGGAAGGAATGAAAGTTTAGATACGATCACATGATTAAGTATAAATTCAATGCAACGCGCAAAGATTCGAGTCAAAGCCTGTCAAAGCGAATAACTACAGTTCTTCAACGCCATGTCGGGGGGAATCACTTCAGATCGTTTTATTGCATCACGGATGTTGGGCGCAGATGTGTACCACTTGTAATTAAATTGTTTCGTCAAAGTAAATCTTGGCTTCTTTCAAAAATGAAGTTTTCGGGCTTCAGTTCAGAAACAAGACGAACTTGGATTCGATGAGAACCATTATGCCGATGATGAAGAAGAAGGCGACGGAAGTTTATCAAGGAGTCCAGAGAGTGTTGGAGCAAGGACTCCGTACGTACGATACAAGTTGCTTTGACTTACCATTTCCGTATACGCCGTCTTCTATTACTATAAACTATACAGTACCTAGGTATATCAACACGGCGGCATCTACGAGTCCCTCAGTTGTTTAACTATCAACTGAGGTGAGTCGTAGCGCCCCAGCCACGAACTATACGCTAATGTCGAGATAGTATATTAACTCCTACAGGTACATACTAATACAATTAGTTGTTTAACTATCAACTGAGTATATTAACTCCTACAGAGAGACACACTGCAGACGATGACGTTCGTCTAATAGCGCCAATGTCAATTAAAACCCCACTGCACCAAAGATGAACACTCCCATGTACGCCAATGCCTAGTGCATCATAGACACAGCTTCTCCAGTGAATGTGACCCATGGAGGATGATCGATGATCCTTCGCTTGAGCGTCTTACAACATTGGGACAGAAATTTTATACATGCAGTCTAATCACCTATGATACAGTTATTTTATAGATACCATTTAGCTAGAATGAATTGAGGTGAAGATATGTGTGCGAGTTTGCAAGCAGAATATGCAGATGGAGTGTAGGTTGTAAAGAAACCGAACAAGCAAGAAAGAAAAATATCAATAGGATGAAATACGAGATAGTCAGAGACCCAAGACTGAAGATTGCTCCCATCCGGTTTATCTCTTCCTCAGAACATGTGGATATACTGCATCTGACTTGAGCAAGGCTTTGAAGAATTGACGCCACGAGAGTGGGTTACCCTAAAGTTACAAAACTTACCATCAGCCTCCATGACACCTCAAATAGAGATAGAAAGAAATGGTAGGCATAAGAAGTAGGGAAATAAAGATCTCATACCTCGTCTCGCGACATCACACAAAATGTCCCGTTCATACCTCCATGACTGAAGTGCTCCATTTCGATCCATCCCTTAAACAATATTTTCCGGGCGTCTTTTCCCCCGACCCGGATTTTCCATATTCTATCGACCCCATTGTTCTCTCTGATAGTACCATCCCCAACTATAGCACCTCCAGTGTTCTCCTCGCTCAAGCTATCCAGTGCTTGGCCGACATTTGAACGATGATTTGATGAGCTCTCCTTGAAGACAATCCCCAGCTCCCCTAATGTCTCTTTCACGATCGGCATGAGCAATGCTGGACCGAGTGTCGCGTAGAACCGTGTTAGATGTGGGGTGTATCGTGCACCGGATTGTGTTTGCGACTGTATTGGGGTTAAGACAGAAAAAGAAAAATGGAAGGAGTGAAAGGTAGACTTTAGACATAGAGTCGCAAAGAGAAGATAGTCAGGGATCAAATACGTACAAAGAGCATTAAAGACTGGGTGAATTGGGAATTATGCGACGGCCCAGCAGCAGCAGATGATGTTTCTTTGTCCCCATCGTCTTGGTCGACATCCATAGGCCTAGAACAACAGGTGCAACACAGACTTCAGTCAGACCAAGCCATGATAATATTTATAAATTATAGAACATGCGAGAGGGAATGGAGAGAGTGAGAGTGATATTATGTGTACATACAAATCTGTAGGCTGAGGCATAACGTAATCCATATCCCCAGTAGTGCGAAGAGACTCCGTGAGCTTGTCCGCCAGTACAGCGGTGCTTTGACGTGCGAGTTGGCTTGTTCTAGATTCGAGAAAAGGGAAAATGGGTTCGGTCGTAGGAGACATGAAAATGATAAGAGATTTCAATAAGCACCGAGTCATTGGATTGAAAGTTTTTAAAATGAAATAAATCATCGAGTGAGGCATACCTGATGCACCAAGGATGTTGCATCGTCTCTGGTAGAGTCAATCGTTGCTTAGGATTGATCGTTAGAAGTGCACGTAACAGAGCTATTGGTAACAACAATAAAGAGAGAAGCAATGAGTATTTGGGAAGGAACAAGGATGGATGAAGCTTCAAGAAGAAAAGGAGAGATATTTGGGACTGCTCACACAATGCGTCCTCACTCAACCGATTCCAGGGATCTTCTTTGAATATATCTCCAGATTTGTATTTTCGAAATTCTGGACTATGTCGAGTGGGTTCGTCCCAAGGTGTGTCTACACAAAACAAAAACCATGTCAGACCACCGTAATTCAGCATCACGTACACATGGGAAAAAGTCCAAGAAACACACTCACTTCCGGCAAGTAATGTGAACAAGATGACCCCTATACCCCACATATCAATAGGCTCTGCGGCGTAAGTCTCGTCTGTGTTCAACTAGGTAAAAATGCGACGTCCATCTTCAGCCCGCATGTTCCAGCATGAACGTACCTCCCTACTTCACTCAACTTACCTCAGGCGCAACATACGGTAAACTCCCACACCGTTCCGACAATAACCTCGTCTTTCCATTACCCAGTCGGAACACTGCTGATAATCCGAAATCCGAAACTTTGAGGTTCCCAGCGATGTCTAGTAAGAGGTTTTCGGGTTTGAGATCGCGGTGGCAAATGCCTTTGCTGTGGATGTATTCCTATGTAAGTTAAGAGCAGTTGAAAGAGGGGAGAGAGAGGAGTGGGTTTGTTGAGGACTTCGGTTGTTGCGATTTGAGTGGATATACTGACCATCCCAGCGAGTAGTTGATTGAAATACAGATGCGCTACTTCATCACCAACACCTACGTCCGGAGCTACAAAAAAGGCAAAAGATCAGGATCTGCCCTATCGAAAATTTAAAATGACTAAAACACACACCAATCTTATCGAACAAATCCCCTCCCGCCGCTAACTCTAGAAGCATATAAATCCCCGGCACATACATCTCTCGATACTTCAATTCCACCGTCACGGCACAAATCAATTCCAATACGTAGACGTGCTTCAACACTGAATGTATTCGAGTTTCTTTATCGATTGTTTTGCGGTCTTTTTCCGTTGTTTGGTCAGTGATCAAGATAACTTTACAGGCTGCTACACGGTGCTCCGAGAGGTTGACGGCGCGGAAAACACTGTAAGAGATGGGATACGTGAGCGCGGAGCACGCTTGCACTATTAGGCTTTGGAAGAAACTGACGTGGAGAAGCCACCGCCACCTATTTGTTGAACGAGGTCGTATCCTACAAGGAAGTATTATTATTAATCCAATTGAGACCGCTTGAGATGAGAGACGACTAATTAATCTTTACCTGCAACTTTCGGGTATTTAACTGTCATGAAGGGAGAAAGGAACGGATGATGGTTCACTGTGGGGATGAGCCAATGTCTTCGCGGTGAAAATCTAGAGAAAATGCAAGGATTTTTACCAAAATTCATCAAAAATCCTGGGCACGAATTTTAAAACCTTTCGTGTGGCGATTATTGTGAAGCTATCGTGAATTTGGCGGGGGGCCGTGCTTATTTTAAATTATCTTTTCATAATTTTACCATAACCTCAGCTCAATTCCTTCAAAATATCTGCTGCCATATTTTTGTACATAACCTCGAGATAAAACCCACATTTTCGCCTCGAGGAAATCGGCTCATCCCCGCAGTGGTTATGAAAGTTCTGTGTAATGACTCAACAGAAAGTTACACAATGCGCGTGGCACGTGCGTCTGGGCGTCACTGTGACGGTACGCGTTGAGCGCGTCGCGTGTCAATCGACTCCAGTAGCTTTGTTCTTAGAACCACACTTGACTGTATTAATCAGTGATCGCTATGGTATGACCAAAGATAGCTGGTAGGGAAGATACCAACTAAGCACTAGAAGTCGCTGTACGGTATCTTCATACCTCCAGGTCGTCAGCATAAATTCCAATTTACCAGAACATGTCGTTGTAAAGACCACGGTGTGCATTTTTAATGTACAGTTATCGATAAGTAGCATCTTCATCGATCTTTCCCTCAATCATTTTAAAGAACCACTCCAGAGTGTAAGTGCCAGCAATTTCAATATCTCCGCTTGAAATAATGGCCATGGCGCTCGGAAACCACCACCTCCGGCTAATTCGAATAGAGTAAAGTCTCTAAGATTCTCGGAGGAATCTGGATTGGCCAATGTAAACGACCGTAACAGAAATGCTTGACCAAAAGGTTGAAAGCGAATTTGGATAAGGAATGTTCAGCAGGTTAGGCGTTGGAGGGTAGACGGGAGACTGGTTGGCTTTTTTGTAGAAACCTGCCCCATTCTGTACTTTTACGATTAGGCTTAGAAGGGGATGTGTTGTGTTACCGTTAACACTGAGTCTTCAAAACATAAGTTCAAGTCGGTCAAGAATTTGTCAGGCCATGAGAATTTGCCGATTGTGGGCTTGAAATTTTGCGTCCCAGCCTTGACCATTTACTTGATCTGAGGTTGCAGCGGGATTGTACAAACCAACATGAGGTACGCGGAGTGGAATTTAGAAAGATCTGCAAGACCAGACAAGAGACATTGAGAGTCACAGGACGCGTATGATACAATAAAAGTAGAAACTGAAAACTTCCGAAAGCAATGCAGTACACAAACATTGAATCTAACGTAAGATAGAACAAAAAAGTAAGAAAGGAAGAAACGAGTGTATAGCAAAATTAACTTATCTACTTAGATACCGCTGAGTAGCCTCAATCTCCACTAATGACTCATGGAATACAGGTGATGGAGACTAATCGCCTCCAGTCTCCGTCCCCTGCGAAATTTGCGACCGCTGTGACTTGTAAGACCCGTATATTGGCCCATTCTCGCCATCACTGACTACACTGTCATCATCCCGACGCTGAGGCACATGTGCATAATCTCGTGCAGTAATCGTAGTTGGAGTTAAAGTCCGACTACCAAGTAACGGCGCGCGTTCATCAACCTCAGCGTTATTATTAGGAATCAAGGCTTGAACATTCGACACAGATTCGATGGAGCCAAAGTTCAAGCGCCCAGCGTCGCCGTTGAGGTTGGTTATGGATTTATATGAACCGAAAGAGTCGCGTTTGCGTTCGCGTTCGACAATTCTGATTTTCGAAGTGAAACTTGAGGTCGACTATTTTCAAAACGAAAAGTGAGGATTAACATACCCTCTCATGATAGTCGCCGTTGTTGCCCGTCTTGCTCTTCTCTTGCTCACATTGTCCTCATACCGATCTGTCTCGTCAACAATCTCTTCGGATATGATTTCCTGCGTTGTGTCATCAGCAGTGCAAACGAGCAAACGGACCTCGAGAACAAACCTCAATTATATCTTCCAAGGTAATCACACCAAGAGCGCCACCAGCGAGACCAGGAGTAGAACTTATCAACAAAAGATGTGCTCGGCCAGTCTGGCTAAACGAGTCAAAGACATAAAAGACACGCATTAGAACGAAAATAATAGGAAACGACGAAGCCAGGAGCGGACAGCTTACAAGTAATCTAAGGCTTGAAAACAATTGATTGATGGTGGTGCCTCTGGTAGAATTGACAACGGAAAGCTCGATATCGGGAGACCTTGCGATGGGTCATATTGAAGAAGCTGACGAGTTTATCGAGGACAGAGAATAAGTCATCAACCTTTTTTACATCTAGGGACCAGGAATCTCTTACTTTTTTAATGAGTAGAAGCCCAACAAAAGCCAGCGGATTACTGGGTTCGTGAATCGGGAAGCGAGAGTAACCACTTGAAAGGCTGTAAGATGGTCAGGAGTCAGGCGATGGGATATGAGGTTGAAGGTTTCATTCACATTGCATCCAGTGTTTTGTGATCCAGAATCGTGTCGGCGCTTAGTTTGACCACATCCTATAATGCAAAAAAACATAGGTTGAAATTTGGAAGCAGCCAGAAGGGGACGAACCTTCATCGGCGTCATTATACTCTCCACGCTCTTCGTATTCAGCTCGAGGACACCGTTCAAGATACTGATTTCCTCGTCTCTTAATGGCTCCTCTCCCGTCCGGTGGAATTGAAGGAATGACTTGAGTTCGGCCTTTTTGTAGGTATGGGATTCGTTTGCACCGAGCACTTTATCAAGTAGCTTGGCAATGGGGTATGCGATAGGCGCTGTACAGCAGAAGACATGAGACCAGGAAAGTCTAGAACAGACCATTACTGACACATGATCCACATGAGAGCGAGAACGAATGGAGCGCATCTCGCTCCTATTGAAAGACCGAAACGGACGCTGGCTGCTTGAGGAATGATTCTAGAGAATGACCGTCCTTAGACAAATATTGTGGAACATATCTTTTCGTACCCACTCTCTAAATCTGACGGTTAATCACATAGTAAGCCGCAAGCATTACCCCAGAACGTACCCGAAGATGACTGCAAACCGAATAGAACTCAAAATTTTGGATTGTTCACCATTGCAGGGGAACTCACCAATAGCTGTAGTAGATATAACGACAGCAGCGATTCCTCCACCAAGCTAGCGCGTGTCAATGAGACATAATCTTGCAGAGGTTGGCTGAAACGCACCGCTCCGTCTAAGAATATAGGTAAACTTTCATTGACGATCTGTCAGGATGCTTAGGCGAGTAATGTTAGCTGGTAAACGTAACGCACTAACCACATTGCCTAGGAGAAGCACCTTTGACACAATGAGTGACGGGATACGTTGGAAATATCACAAAAAACGTACGACCAGGACCCAGTGTCTTCCTTTCGACATTAGCTTGAGGACTGAATCCCGAAACAATTATGGATGACCGTTACTTCCGTTGCATTATATCACGCAATTGACACACCCTTCTTAGCATTTTGCTTCTCAGTCGGGATATCAGAGGATGCGGCCAATACTCGAAGATGTAGCTCGTCCAAGCCCATGAGACCTAGAGTCAATCTGCCATAATTATTGTAATCTGAGCTAGCCATGCATATTCACATCGAAGACATACCCAGCAAATACCCCGCCCAGTAATACTAGCGCAACACTAATTCCCATCTTCCACCAAAATTCTGGAGAGCCATATTCTGGTGTATCGTCGTGTGTCGTTGAATCGAGTTCATGTGCGGAGGCTATGATATATGTGCCGAGAAATGACTTGAAAGGGGCTGCAAGTGCTTTTCGAGCAAGAATAAGGAATAAAGAATATTTCTTCATATGAGTTCACGAAAAATGAGCGTGGAAATAGAAGAAGAGAATGTAAACAGGAGGAGATCCAAGTCGAAACGGACAGGAAACGAATTGACCTCACTCTGCATAATTAGCTAATCATTACGGATCGGAATTGAGGCGCTGATTACGCTGTGCGCTTTTTCCTGCGTTCAACTCCCTGTAATCGTGTTCGACCAAACCGCCACCCAAGGCGTCTCTGGACCTTGAATCTATTTGGTACTGCAAATATCTTTCATATTCTACAAAGGTTTTGAGTGTATCCTTGAAGTTGCTGTGGGCAATTCACTAGATACATTGCTATACCTTGCTCAGATACATTGTAAGCGACTTCATTGTTCGACTATCAATTTTAGCTCTCTTGCAGGCTTCATATGATGGTTTCTCGATCGAGAAACAAGAGATATAGGGCGCTGTGCAGCCAGATATCGCCCTCGGAACGTACCAGTTTATGCAAACATTGAAGAGATAATAAAGGAAATCCCGAAGATCAGAAATTGACACAATCCACAGAGTCTTTCGATCTTCTCAGTGCGCCCCATCCGCCTTGGTTTACCGGGTCAATCCGCACTGGTTATCGTGTATGGCGCATTCTTGATGAGTCGGAGGGGTTCTCACTATTTGGATCATATCTTATTCCCCTACCCAACTTCTATTTAATGACAATGCTGAGCGCTGAGCGCTGTGTGTTACCGATGTCTGTATCTTGGTAATTGCGGGTAGGTGGGACAGCAAGAATCAAGATCACGACAATTGTTTCATTAATAGTACTACTCCCTATGTAGCACTGCCTGGTACTCCTTTATTCGAGTTATCCAATCTGCCAAGCCTCTTGTGATAGATGCTCATATCCAATGCAGGACGCTCGAATCAGGCCTGAACCTTGAACGCCACCACAAAATCCCAACACAAAATCCTAACAGCACTCGTCACGCCGGTTTCCAAAGAATTCCCCCGAAGGACTAGTAAGTATAGATTTCGCATCGGGAGTATCTGATTTTTGCTTCAAGCTACCGCACTATTCACCTGCACCAATGAAATTTGGTCTCTTTGCGGGACGATGCTTTCAAATCTATGATGAGCCTTTGATGAATGGACTTTGGCACACTGAATAAAATCAATCTCTAAGTGTTTATAACACATTTCTTCTTCCAGTTCTATAAACGTTGTGCTTTTAGATCACCTCCATTCCAAAGTTTCGCTCTATTTCGAAGTGTATACCTAATGTCTTTCAAAATCAAACACTATGTAGCTCTATCTACCCTATCCATGGTCTGTGATAAGATCTGATTCTTGTTATTCCCGTTAGCTCACTTGCCCTGCTTTCTAGTTAGCCCTATTTTGCACAATGGTTCTCCTGCGTGGAGGATTTCGACAGCTGGGCACCACTCCTCCTGTTGTATCTATTGAATCTGGACTAATACCCACGAGGGAGAACGCTACACTGGTGTTCTTGGCGCGTAATTCGGAATTGAAGGGCGTCTTAACAAGCATGCAAAATTTGGAGAATCGGTTCAACCACAAATATATGTATCCTTGGGTGTTCTTGAATGACGAGGAATTTACCAATGAATTCAAAGGGTGCGTGTGCCGGTGCCTCTAAAGGCTGATTTTTTGCAATTGTCCATTCATCGCTACACAATTTTAGCCGCGTAATGTTGGAAACAAACGCGAAGGTATATTTTGGATTGATTCCAAAGGAACATTGGGTTCAACCTGCTTGGATCGACGAGGAAAAGGCAGAAGAGTCGCGTAGACGGTTGACGGAGCAGAAAGTCATATACGGCGGTGTGCATCCAATCCCTATCCTTAAGAGAAATCCTGAATTATGCATGGCAGGTAGCTCTTCTTACAGAAATATGTGCCGCTTCAATTCTGGCGTAAGTACATTGCCTCTTGTGTATCCTTGATGTCATTGGCCTCTGCAGTATTTCTTCCAACATCCACTGCTCCAACAATTCAAGTATTATTGGCGGGTAGAGTACGCTCACCATCACCTTATTCTCAGTGCATTGTATCAAGCTTCTTATCTTTAGGCCTAACATTAAATATTTCTGTGATATGAACTACGACCCCTTCCGATATATGATCGATAATAACCACACATATGGTAGGGTCTGTACCCAGAGATTCCTCACTGATTCACTCACAACAGCCTGCAGGTTTTACAATCGCATTGTATGAGGTTCCAGAGACGGTTACCACATTATGGGAGAGCGTCAATGGTAACGATGATTCCATAAAATATGTACCAAGCAACATAACTGCCTTTAGAATTCATCTCCCAATATCCTCAATACATCGTTAACGACAACGCCAAGGAATTTCTAAGTAGCGACGGGGGGAACACTTACAATATGTGTCACTGTATGATTTTATCTTTTATACCTCTTGTTTCGACCTACTTTTACCTCAGTCTGGAGTAATTTCGAAATAGCGGACATGGATTTCTGGCGGAGTGACGCGTACCAAGCATTTTTCAAGTTCCTTGATGCGGAAGGAGGTTTCTACTATGAGGTCTGATTTGTTTGAACTCCAAGTATCGACCCCGGAACTCACTTCGATTAATGTACGGCTTTGACTTGACAGAGATGGGGTGATGCTCCCGTACATTCAATTGCTGCCGCTTTATTTCTCCCAAAGAACAGGTTGCACTTTTTCCAAGATATCGGTTACCAGCATGCGACGTACCAGCATTGCCCTTCAAGTGATGAATCCATGGGCAATACTTGCTCCTGCCATCGTTGGAATACTATTGGCAAGGACAATCGCTTCCAGACCATGACAATAATTGATGCCTCTTCAGATACCAAAAAACAATCGTGTCTGCCACAATATAAAGCTTTGTACATGAATACCTCAATCCGAATAGATCGTGCCCAGGGTTTGTTCCCCTGGTGGTGATCATGGATGAACCTCCACCACTTCAAGAATAGGAAAAACTTAAGTATCAAACACCATCTTCAATATTTATATTTAGTATCTGATGATCGATCAAATATTCTGCACACATTGATAATACGCTGCAAAGCAAAATGCTTTCATCTGAAATCTGAAATCCTCTTGCATGCAGAAAGAAAAATCATCTAAAAGGTTTTACAGTGATTTGGCCATAGGATGGTTGAAGTTTGCAAAGAGATAAGGGTGGAGGAAGGGGATACGGTCCTGACGCACCCGCTGGGGCTTGTTATACGATCACCTGCAAACGTGGAAGAACAAAGAGCGACAGTAGGATCTCATCTCGAAGATCAATGAAATGATGATCAGTCAACAGAAGACCTGTACAGTAATTAGAGGTAATTGGCAAGCTTACCGAAAAGACGGGCAAATCATCATCACAAGATCACGACTCAGGTATATCAGGAGATTGAATGTTCAAGCTGGTGTTTTGTCGGGCAAGACTACTGAATCAAGGTGCTTTACATAGATAGTAGTAAAATTTGTGGTGACTTGGTATCCTTCAAAAAAACACAGCTATCTATAGCCGGTGACAGGAAGAGGCACGGGTGAAAACCCGTGTAAATTCACGGACGAGAGTAGATAAAATACAAGGTTCCCCGGACAAGTTTTAATTCTCATGTCCGGCAAGGATGCGGCAAAGACAGGTGCTAGCACGTGCACTACTCTTATATCATTATGTGACGACAAACAAGCGTCGTCTCCGGTTTTTCCAACTTTTTACTTCCAACCACCATGTCTACCTCGCTCGATTATCTGAAGCAAACCGGAACGGTCGTTGTTTCTGACTCTGGAGATTTTGAATGTCAGGCATTCATAATTGCGAATTATACTTTTACTTACCCATCTTGATACAGCAATCGATGTCTACAAGCCTCAGGTATGCCAGAAACGTTTGGCAAGAAAGTTATATAACCTTGTATACCATGTCAGGATGCTACGACTAATCCATCGCTGATTTTGGCTGCCGCCAATAAACCAGGCTACGCTCGTCTCATTGACGCTGCAATCAAGCACGCTAAAAGCAAGAGTGGTGATCTTGATACCCAAGTAAATGCTGCGATGGATAGATTGGTGAGCTTTTTCATCAGCGGTGGACTAGATCTGTGTTCTCAGCATTTGGCTTCTATCGCAACTAGTTGATCGAATTTGGAAAAGAGATCCTTGCTATCATCCCCGGCCGAGTTTCCACCGAAGTCGATGCACGTTTGTCCTTTGACAAAGAGGCTACCAAGGCCAAGGTATGATATGCTATCATGAATAAGCGCTACTGCATCCTACTCGATCTGTTTCGCTCTATAGGCCAAGGAACTCATTGCCCTTTACGAATCGGTTGGCATCAAGAAAGAGCGGATCCTCATTAAAATTGCCTCAACATGGGAGGGTATTCAAGCTGCTAGGGAGCTTGAGCGCGACGATGGTATTCACTGCAATTTGACCCTCCTCTTCGGCTTTGGACAGGCTGTTGCTTGCGCCGAAGCCGGAGTTACTCTGATCTCACCCTTCGTCGGACGTGTGAGTATCTTGGTCCTGAAAGGCACATTTTCAGCTCACCTCGCATCCGTAGATCCTTGATTGGTATAAGAAAACAACCGGAAAATCATATGAGGGTGACGAAGATCCTGGTGTCAAGTCTGTCAAGAAAATTTTCGACTATTACAAGCAACACGGATACAAGACCATAGTCATGGGTGCCTCTTTCCGAAACGTTTGTGAATCCTTATGCCCATGATTACCGGAACCAACTCGTGTGTTTTTGTCGTCTAGGTTGGCGAAATTAAGGCACTAGCCGGTGTTGACTTCCTCACCATTTCTCCGTCGTTGCTCGAGGAGCTCAAGAAATCAACTGACCAAGTTCCAAAGAAACTCGACGCTGCTGCCGGTAGGCTCTCCTTTTTTCCCCAGTTACATTTCTAACGCACGCTAAACACTTGTAGCTGCCAAAGACGCGCCGATTCCCAAGGTCAGCTACATCGACAACGAGCCCGAATTCCGTTGGACATTGCTCGAGGACCAAATGGCGTTTGACAAGCTACACGAGGGTATCAAGAAATTCGCTGAGGATGGCGAAGCTCTCAAGAAGGTTCTCCGAGAGAAACTTACTGTTTAATCCCTCTCGCCTATCTTGGGTCACCATGTCTGGGATTGATTACACTCCAGTAATATTCTAAGTACCTCCTGCTGCGTCCGGTTACTACATAGATCTCGAAGCAAAAAAGAATCATGTGTATTATTTGTAGAAAAGAATGAAATGTACACTGACTTAGGTATAAAGATGACAATGGTCATAAAATAGAATAATAGACGTACATACTGACTAGAGATCTACCAATGCAAAAAGGTAAAGGAGAGTGCAGGATACAGTTCAAGTTGAAAAATATGATGTGTGAATGAGCGATGTATTTGTGGAGAGATGCGCAATAAAGGAATTACGTCGTTAATAAGGCAAGTTGTCCAGGAGATTGAAGATTCGCCCCGATTCAACCTCGAAGTATCCTTCGCCATTCAAGATTTCTGCACAAGCTTTGCGCGAAAGAAGCGTGCACAAATGGGCACCCCAAGCAGGCGGAATGTCAAGTAAGATAGTGGGAATGAACCGAGCGATGATACGAGTGCTGTCAAGATCGGCATATTTGTTTATCTGGGCAAGAAACTGCGCGAGTTCCCGATAGTTCTGGGTTTCAATGTGGAGGAAATCTAACGACGAAGAGGGAAGAATCCCGGGCCCTTTATCTTGCAAATTTACAGCAACATTTAAACTCTTGAGCATAGTAGAATCGGGCTCGAGAAGGCGCAGGTTCCTCAGTTCAGTGCAGTTAAATAACAATGAGGTCAAAACCGAGGGGTAGCAGGAAGGCCCTCGCCCTGCCTCAAAATCTTGCTGAAGAACAATAAGATTTGCTGGGTCCATTGGGCAACGGGCCGATCCAAGAGTAAGATGGGTCAATTGTTTCAGCGGCCAGCTCGCGATGACATGGAGATAGAAACGTTGCAGATGATCGTCTGTATTCCAGGTTCGTTCGCTTTCGGTTGTTATATCGTGAATTTCCAGACAGAGTAAATTCGGAACGTCAAGTTGCGTTGCAAGGAACGGAGTAGTTGGGTCAAAAGTGACACCCACGGAGAGATAATAGAGGTTGGGTAGGGTAATTCTGTCATCGGTGGGAACGTGCTGAGCCGGAAGGTATATCGCCATAGCAGAGACCGTCAACGACTGCAAGGTATCTTTGCTGTGAAACAGTAGTGTCTTGAATTCGTCGTGGCTAAATAGGAGGTTACCCAAATTGAGGGTAACGAGGTTTCGAGGAAGAAACTGTCCCCAATCGTAGGTAATTCCATGTATGGACAGACTAGCAAGTTTAGGATACAATGTATCCGTATGTTCAAACGAAGGAACGATGCCCACCGGACGTTGAAAGATAGTTGGGGCAGGCGGGGGCGGAAGAACGGTCAGGCGCGGCTTGTCCGACTCGGATATGACGCTCCATTGCTCGAGCAATGGCATCGGCATATCAAACAGGACGAGCGACAAAAACTGAACAGGGTGCAAATCGTCTGATAGGATTTCGACGCGTCGAAATCGTGCCGCGTAAAAAGCAAGGAAACGTGCAAGTACAACGGCGTAACCGGTCAGCCAAGGGGCTTTGACAATGTCATGCGAGGAGGTATTAGTGTCAAGGTCGGAATCTAGATTAATGCTGATGTCGATAGGTTGAAAGCCGGAGCGACGAAGGAGTGTGGCTGGCCACGGGAAAACCTCGACTATACGACGAAACTCTATAGTGTAGGGATCGCCCAAAGCAACCCCCTGATCAATCGACCATATGTCGACGGAGATGCCAGTCCAGAAAGTCGACGTGTTTACTGATAATTCTCGCCACAGCCTGCATACTTGAGATACAGAGCGCAAAGCGTCTCCAGCGTCATGCACAGCATGGAATATTTCAAGTTGGATTTCGTTTGGCATGAAAAGAATCAACGCGGCGGCCATGATGAAAATTGAAGGAGATTTTGTGATGAAGTTACTACGCAGCAGAACAGCTTAGAGAAGAGATTTTTCAATGGGAGGCAAAAACGCACGGGGTTTTGGAGATACTGAGGTCACTGACAGATTAGAATTGGGGACACTCTCAAAGTGAACGCTCTTATAAAGCGGCTGGCCATTGTCATGCATCTTGACCATTTCAAGAGGACAATACGATATGAACATCCTAATTCGCTTATTCGAATAGCCACCTGGGATGAGCCTCTGATTGTTCGCCGTGTAGGTGGATAAGTATCTTGCGGCCAAACTAGCACATGTGGAGGTCGTAAGGAATGATCACACGAATCGAGCACTTGCACGCAACAAAGATGAATCATATTTTTTGGAGGCGCTTATGTAGCAAATTTGGGCGTACAACTACAATCCACATCTAGCAATCCCTCAGAGCTTGCCGATGCTAGCGGCGTTGGCATTCTGACCAGCGGCCTTAGCGCGCTTACGAAGTTTTTGAGTCGACTTGTTGCCGCGGAGTCCTCCACCCCACTGTCGACGCTGCTCCTCGTATTTGTCAGTGCTAGTGGAAGATTAGAATAAATACTATCAATACATTATTATGACGTACAAATTGGCCTTAGCGGCGCTGACAAGAGTGGCCAGCTCACGCTGATCCTCGGATTTGACCTCCTGAAGAGCAACAACGGCAGCAGTTTTTTTGTGAGTCACAGTACCAAGTCGGGCCTTGCCCTTCACGATGACATAGGGAACACCCATCTTGCGGCAAAGGGCAGGTAGGAAAACGACCAGTTCAATAGGATCGACATCATGTGCGATAACGACCAAAGCCGCCTTCTTGGCCTCGATGAGCGCGACAATGTGGTTAAGACCGTATTTGACAAAGAGAGGCTTTTTAGTTTCCTAGAGGTTTTTGCATGTTAGACACATAACGCAGGGAACCACTTCACTGCAAACACACATCTTTGTCCTTGCCTTCGACAGTAGCGGCGGCAGTGGCTTCGAGACGAGCCTTCTTTTCAACCTTCGACTCGGGACGGTACTTGTTCAAAAGCTTGAACAGCTGAGTAGCAGTGTTCTTGTCCAAAGTGTGGCTGAATTGGGCAATCGAGGGAGGCACTTTGAGACGCTGGTTAAGAATTGTCTTCTGACGCTGCAAGCGGACGTATTCAGGCCATTTGACAAACCGGCTGAGATCAGTCTGAGGTTGAACATCCTGCCCTGCTGTAAATTCAGAAAAGACGATGTTGAAGAAATGCAAAACTAGGCGCACCGATACCGAAGTTTTTGGGACTAGCCTCGAAAAGAGGATTCTTCTTCGTCTTTGTAGTCTTGCTACCGAAGGGAGCGGCAGCAGGTTTCTTGGATGCTCCAGTTTTGGCCTTAGGCTGGTCATTGAGACGAAGTCAGCACAAGTCAAGCATTATCATGACAAGGGCGCCTCGGAGCTCTAACGTTGCGTAAATTGTGCACAACCCAGCAAGTAGCTTCATCGCCAATGAGGTTCAGCATTAGAGATTCAAGAGGACGAGTTGACTTTCATTAATCCTATGTACATTCTGGTAAGTTTCAAAAAGGTTATCCAAAGACAAAACATACAATCCATCCCAGCTTGAAGCGTTGAAATCTCCCAAAGAAGAGCTCCGAGGTCTATTAATGAGACACTAACCATTTTGACGGTTCTGAGCTCTTGCTTGGCTGAACAGATTGAAAAATGTGCTGAAAGGGTCACCGGTCTTTCAAAGGCAGAGAGAACTCAAAGGGAAATATTATGTAATCGCACGAAGCGCCAGAGGGGAAAACATTCTGGAGAGTTAAACTTAATGGAATGGTACACATAAGCTACAAAGGAAACAGGGACTAGAAGCACAATGAGAAGGAAATCTGCACTGTCGAAAGGAAACAACATAACGGAAAGGTGCTACATCTGGAAGGCCAGAAAAGGCGAGAAAATAGGATAAACCATAAACCTGTGTGAACAACATCCAAATTTACCACTGAGGATCTATCAGAGGAGCCTTGTTGATACACACGCTCAGCTGCGACTCCCCTGTCCTCTTTGCCCACCTATAAACCTTGATCCCTCTCGGCCCAGTATTCATTTGCGCCATCGCCTTTTCGTACCCTTTGGGATCTACATCGGAGCACAAGTATGCTTGCAGGCTTCTCGTGCGGTCATATATTATCACAGACATCCCCTTCTGCAGCTTTACAAGGAACGAGTTGTCTCCGTGAATATTGGATGGTATAGGTGGTGGGTTATCAGTATCGTACACTTTCCGGTTAGCATCGGCTGAGAGCCCAGAAGACTTGTTGAACAAGGTGAAATACAGCTTTTCTCCTTTTTTGGCGGCGAGTCTGGTCTCTAGCGGCAGCATGCTGAAGGTTATAGTGATCCACTCTCCGCCTTTGAGGGAATTACACATAGATTTATGTTCCTTCCAGTGCAATTTTTGACATTCTACATAAAATCGGCGAAATTCGACACATCATGATGAAAAGAAATAAAATAGCGGCTCACCTGTCCCGCAATATTCGGCAGAAAGACACTGCGAGCATCTACTTGTTGTCTTCTTTCCGCATACTGTACAGCCTGTATGGTTCGTCAGGGCTCCCACATCTTGCTGTCCAAGTGGCGCGAGAGGCAGAAGGAACGACAGCCCAAAAGGACCTTCGCTTCTAGACCGTTTAGGTGAAAATTGATCAGAAAGCCTCCGGGCGTTCATGTTGAGAATGGCAAGGAGAAGTTTCTGTTCTTCCAAGCTCGCGACAATTTGAAGTAGAGGTACTGTCTTCGATGCTGATTTCGATAATACTTCTTGAACCCAGGGAATTGTGTCGTTAGCAGGTGTGTCCCTGGTTCCGCGACAGTAGAGAACAACTATAGCGGGCACTCCGTTATCGAGTTGTCGGACTTCAACAACCTTGCGTGTCAGATTAGCAATTGGTCATACTAAAGTTAACGCATACTAGAAACGCACCCGTATGCAAATCGCGTAGCTGTAGTCCTTGTCCTGTGCAATCGCTGAGAGGACCCCGTTATCGAAGCCGCTGGCTAACGACATAATCGTCTGACGAATATCGACAAAGACGTTCTCGTACATATCCCAGGCATTCTCTTTCCCTTGACTTCGAGCCTGTGCATTTGCGAAAGCTTCCATCATATTTCCGCGTTTGACCGAATCGAGCAGGCTCTTCGAAGCATTCTTCTTAGACCAAAGTGAGAAAGACGAGGGGTTGAAAGGAGGTTTCTGGATCAGCTTTGAAAATGATTGAGAAGCGTCTATGGCACCGCGAAACTTTCTTTCTATTGCATCATCAGGCAGGCGGGTGGAAGGCAAAAGTTCGATGCCCATGCTGTGGAGGAACTTCATTTTTTCTTGCCTCGTAATGTCGACTGCGATAGCCTTCGAGTTCTTCAGCTTGTTTTGACGTTTCATGTTGTCTATTGTTAACTTCGCCCAGTCGAAGCAAATCGAACAGTCAGTCTTGTTATGTTCTCTGCATTCGTATACCCGCTCTTTGGGTCGGCTTGATTTTGTTTCAACTGCCTTGTCCAAGATATAAGAGATTGGAGGACGGTTCTGACCAGTAAACATGAGACAATGCTTTTAGAACTTTTGAGAATATAGTATACCATGAAATCGGTCTCTGTGAAAGTAGGAAAGGCTGCATGTAGCTTGTCCATCATTCGCAAATTGTTGGTGAATCGATGGTCGATGCAGCACTCGTTGCAAAATTCACAGCCATGGGCACGACAGAACAGGTACGTGCCAATATAGACATCATCGTCATCTAGCATCTTAGGAGCGAATACTAGCCGTAAAGTGGGGTAAGTGTTTGGATAGCGCTGGCGTCGAGAATGTTATGACTGAGAACTGACCAATTTGACATGTACACAGCATGTATATTTCGGCATTCTCCGAACGCTTTGTGTCAACGACCACCTCTCGGATCCCACATACATACCACGAAAGAACGTAGGTGAGTTTTGGCTGATATTTTCTTATACAGACTCAAGGGTACATATGTACTATCTTGAATTCAGTGACACTATATAGCGCAATATAGCGCAATAGGACCGCATACTGAAGACTGCACTTGAGGCTTAAACGCATTCTGTATGCCATCCGCGCCATAGATGACCATTTATAAGCCAATAAGCAAATAAGATTGCAACCGGTGGCTCACCAGATATTGCTGATCTTGTTTGGAGATCCGTCGAATGTTTAGCACATGAGGTGACGAATTAGCTGAAACAGTGCCAGTGCCTTGCAGTATGTAAGACTGATAACGCTGACAGCCACGAATCCCAAATGGGCACTAGTGACTTTTACGAAGAATCCGCAGGACCATCGCTCCCAGCAAGCTCCGGGCAAATATCCGCAGACACGGACGACTCCATCGTTTGCCAGCGACAATAGCTTCTACAAGGCCTTCAAGACTATCCAGTATATGGGAGAGAGCGCTAGCATAGCAACAGCGCTATAGATCTCTAGAGCGAGGGCTCCGTCGACGAACGGTAATCCTTGCGGCCGCCACGACACAACCCCACGTCGGACCCTCAATCGGAGGAACAACGACTAGTGAAGCTGAGTGTGTGGAATACACTCGGATCACCGTTGATCTTCGAAGTCAACGATGTTTAAAAGAGTCAGGATGCTTTGTCGGTTAGAAATGGGGAGTGAAAAAGATAAGTAAAATTCCACCAAAAGCACTGGGATTTTATAGGACTGAGGCAAGCTTGCCAGAAAAGGTCAAAGCAGGGTCAATAAATGACAAAACCCGTTACTACTAGAATAGTGTCAAAAGACGGTGGAAAATAAAGTTCAGGCCGGTCGACCCAAGACCTGCGGCCCGAGGAGACTGGAGTAAAAGAGCGCGAAGATATGTAGGTGAGAAGGTTGGTTGATCGGCCTACGTTAGAAGCCTTGATTGATTCGAATCGGTATTGCCCGAGCTATGGAAATACTTTATCTGAGAACATAACTCCCAAGGACAGCACGAAAAAAAAGCTGAACGGACTTCTCCTCATGCATCATCATGATTAACCACTGGATTAAGAACTGTCATATGCAATGCAATAATTGCTTGAACTAGCGGCATCATGGAGCACAGGAACCTAAAGGCAGTTGGGGCGAACGCCGCAAGGAAGAAAATGCCAAAGCTCCGGTACTTGATAGCGTGCCGAAGTCTTTGCAGTGGGGTTCCTGCATCTAGCTTGATTTGAGCCTTTGGAAAATCAACCTTGCAATGTTCAACATGACTCCACAGCGCTAGAATGAAGAAGAATTTCGACTCACGCAAAGTTCCTTTGTAAGATTTGCTCAAGGGTGTCACGATTATTTACACATAACAGCTATATTTGCCTCGTTATTTTCAGCTTGCCTGAGACACAATCTAAATGTATGTATGCCTTACATATAGTGTTTGCGTTGAGAGAACAAACCATTGTATTCCGTGTATCAGAGACGTCTCCGAAGCTCTATAAGGAACATAGCAAACAGGGGAAATCGCAATTGAAGAGACATCTGTTCAAAGTAAAAAGGGACCACATTCGATGTATCGCTGGTACTGGCTGGGAAGAGATAAGTCTTCCCACAGAGTATACGAGATGTGCTGGATTTACTTACGGGCGCGATAAGATCTGCTGTCGATTTTACCAGGTGAACACCTGTAAACGAGTCATAGGGGACTTCTGACAGAAGCCCTATCATTGGGCACCACAGAAAATGTTTACGAGAACCACTCGGCTCAGAGGGCTGCCAATATCCAGATATTCAATTTTTCCTTCACTTTTTCGTCGTAACACGACGGTTTAGTGGAATCTGATGGTCGTTGTAGACTTTGTATTCAATAAATCTTTGAATAGAGCTCGAGAATGCTCGAGAATGCTCGAGGGTCTCTTAGTCTCTGACGAGACGACAATGATACGGCAGGTAGAAGGAGACGTTTGATAAAAATGAATTTCCTAATATTGTGGATACATAGCTTACATCTAGTTTTTTTTCGCATCACGCTCGTCCTCTATCGTTTGTTCATCAAGTTTTTTGTTCCGTATGACCACTGGCACCGACTCAGTTCGATCCATAAACTGCGTTGCTCCGAGCGGCCACGCAAGAAAAAATGTGGTTTGCTATGTGAGAATAACAAGTTGGGGAGTTCGAACGCCATTGTGACTTGTAAACTAGACAGAATATGACTTACGAGTCTAGTGTAGTCCTACTATGGCTTTTCGATCTGGGATGAATTTCTGAATATTTTCTGTTATACTTGAACGTCGCTGTAGGAGATACTAAGCTGTTCATGAGGCAGTCGAGCAACTTGATTCGGACGCGGGTTGCTGGGGGCGATACTGCGGAGACCTTGGAGATGATTAGTACGTAGAGACTCGAAGAAACAAATATCTCAATAATTTTGACAGCAATCTTCGATCCCTCAGTAACTATCTCATTGAATATAATCCCATACGATACCAATTGCTCCTGCGTCCCGCTGAAGCCTCCTGGCCAGACCCTGCCAGACTGAGACTTCCAATGATATTCAGTTTCTTTGAATGGGGGGTCTTGAACAACATTGCAGCAGGCTGAGAAAAGCGCCACATCTGGCGGTAGAGACAAAAAGAATGACATTTTGCCTGAAAGAAGCGGCGAACTGTTCCTACTAGCATGGATCATTGTGTGACTTGTGTATTCATTTTCCCAACTTGAAGTCCCGGGCCCCTCGAGGGCTCCATTCGGTGCATGTTCAACTGGGGTGGGAAAAAAGATCAAAGTGAAAATCGACGCCGCAGGGCAGTGAAAAGAGATTGTTTTCGTGAGGGAACTCAGCGAAGAACGGGTGGATTAGTTACAATTATATGAGTACTTCTCAGAAGGATAACATATTGGAACGTCATAGGTCTATATTTTCCGCCGGATATTATCGATTTATCCACGATTTTATGTAGGGTCCAAGCCCTGTTTTCACCCCCTGTGAGTACAATGACATTAGCTTGCATTTCGCGTAACCTGAAAAAAAGATAAGGAAAAGAACGTTGACCTGAGCCCCGCGCTTAGCATGTAAATATTGCCATCTAGTAACGCTAGGTTTACCTGTTCAATATTCAATATTTACTGTATGTAATCGTGAGTACCCGATGTCGCTTGAGCTGGCAGGCCAGGCTAAAGAAAGAAGTGAAAGAAGATGGAAGAGCATGGTTCGGACAATGTTCGGCAAAGGTTAAAATGACGTCATTTGAATGGATCAACGATAGTGCGGCGATATGACGGGGATTTTGATTTCTCTTTCTCGTTCTCAAATATCGTTTGTTCATTTGGACTGTCTGGACTGAGTTAGGAGTTTGTCTCGTGTAGGTCCAGCAGTGCAGCATATGAATTATAGAATGCCACGACTCGGAGAATTCAGAATACATAATGCATATGCACCAGTTCAAGTAGACGAAATAGCTACACGGTATTGTACAAGGCAAGGTACAAGTTCTTGTGATGGAGGTATACAGTATGAGGCGGTTCACTGTGAGGATATGAGGACGTGCTGTCGGCCGATATGGAGAGGTGTAATGTATGTTATGGAAAAATGCAAATATGCACGGGGAAAAAATGAATGGGATAATGTATGGCGTACAATGAGTGGATAGGATGGTTCCCCAGAGAAATATCCAGTGACATAGGAATAATGATGATGATGATGAATAATGGATGCACTAGCACGAGTAGCAACGAGCAATCTAAGAAACGATGATGATCAAGAAGAAATGAAATCGAAGCGCTAAGAGACCGTTATCGTGTTTCAGACAGATGAGGTCCTGGCATTCTATAAGACAGATGTAAAAAAGCAAACGTACCTAGACCAAAGTTGAGTGAACGAGCGGCTAACGACGGGAAGCAAGTGATGAACAAGTGATAAAACATCGCAATCCGTGGGTAGTTAGGTACCAACGATCACTTGAGTTCCCGCAAGGACCGAATCACGTCTTGCATATTCTTCCTATTCCACTCACCCGTCCAGCCATGTGCATGAGGTTCAACCACCTCTCTTTCTTCTCTCCTAGGATGGAAAGGAAATGAGCTTCGAAAGAGTGAGGTCGAGCTCGGAGAATTCGTCAAAGACTGAATGGGCTCTGATAGAAGGGCTTCCAGTTGAGTCCGAGGAGTGCTTTCTGTGACATCAAATTCCGCGTCTGAACGCGGTGAAAATAGATGAACGGTAGACGATGGGCGTTCGGACTCGGGCTCGGGCTCCGAGAAAAATATAATTGGGGATGCTGGCTGTGGTGCAGTATCGCATACATCGGTGAAAGAGAAAGGTGTATCAGAAAGCGAACTGTCGTTGAGAGATGTCGCTTGGGTGTGTACTTCTGAATGCGCACTACGATGATCATCGTCTGAGCTTAGCACGCTGGAGTCTTGTCCATCTGCTTCTGTACCTACTGAGACTACACTCGCTGAGGTCCCATCGACCGAGATGTTAGAGTCAACGATGAGCTTCGGTTTGGAGGGAGGCATAGGTGAGGGAGGTCGTACGGAGAATACCATGGGTGATATGGGAGTAACAGTGCCCTCTCGTGGATACGAATCAAATTCATTATCGATCCAACACACTTCCTCCTTGTCATCATCACCCTCGATAACGTCAAATACATCATTCCCGCCTTCTTCTGAGTACACAAAGACATCCGATGATGGTCGAGAGTTAGAGAGGCGTATAAACGATCCTAGACTCGAGAGAGACCGCGCTACGCTGCGTCGGTGATTTGATTTGGCAGTAGAACTGAGCGATGACAACGAATGTATGGAACCCCGAGACCGTCGCCGATCTGGTTTACCAAGAGGAATGTCAGGTATGTGATTGGCGTTGGCGGATAGGAGCATATGAGAAGGCACTGCATCGCCTAATGTGCGCTCGAGTTTGTTCCGTGGAGCAGCAGCGGGAAGACGGACATCTGATGGATGGACGTATACTGAGAGCGTTGTAGATGTGGAAGTAGGATCATGCTCCAGATCCACGGTATTAGGAAGAGGCGGGGATGCTGGGATGACTGGAAGAGGTTGAGATTCGTCGTCGTTGTTATCGTTCGACTGAGGGATATTGTTGTCCACTTTCGCACGTTTGAGTGAAACAAATCTCGAAATTTTGGGACGAGGTGAAATCGATGGTTCTTGGAACGCACTAGTATCGGATTTAGATTGAGCTCTCTTTCGATTCTTCCATTTAATCTTGCACATTGTGGCGAGGGATGGCCCTGAAGCTGGAGAAGGTGATTTGACCCGAAGACGCGATCCGGCACCTCCTCGACCACTTACTCGAATAGCCGGAGATTGGAGTGAAGATGAACTTCCTGCGAAATTTCTAGAGTGAGTCGGTGTACTTTGTGTCCGCTGATGCGGGTATACACGAGGATCGCTCGAGAGAGAGGGCGACAAAAAAGTCGAAGAAGAGTTCAAGTGGACGCGACGTTTTGAACCTAAGCCTCCTCTTCCCACGACGCGCGCGATGCTTATTGGGCCTGGCACTGCAGGTGCTTTTGCATGTGTCCTTGACACATTATCAAATGAATCAACTAAAGAAGTAGTGCTAATCTGTTGATCCTGAAGAGACTGATGCAGATGGGAGATCCGTTGATTTGTTGGACGAGGACGGGATCCCTGACCACCTCTTCCAACGACTCGAACGGAAACTTTGGGTGTATCAGTTTCGGTACTAATCCGTGACAAGTTTGGTGGGCGGTCTGTTTCATGATTAAGAAAGATTGAATCAAGTAAAATTGAGTGGCGTACCTATGATTCGCAGCACTGCATCAGTATCATTATCGTGGGCGGGCGCCCACAAATCCTTTCTGAGGTTGCTCTGCGAGATGGCAGTGACTGAATGGATTCGGGAAAGATCAGATGGGCCTGCAATTGCAGATGGCGATGCTGGACCTTGCATGTTGAACGAAGATTTTGCCTTTTTCAAACGGAATTTCTCCAATGGAAAGATATTGCTGGACAGAGTTGAAAACGAGGTCGTGGAGCTCTGAAGCGAAGTGTAAGGAGTTACTGTTTGCTGAGAAGAGTTGGAGAACAGAGAGTTGTCCTTGCCGGCGATGAGCGAATACAACGAGGCCTTCCTGTTTGGTTTTGGTGTCGGTCTTGTTATGGACCCAGCAGAGGCACTGAGGCCATCAACAGAGGATAAATCACTGCCATTAGTCGTTGCTTTATACCAAGGCTCCTGGAGAAGTTCTGAAGATGCAATCATCTTCGAGTGTTCGGGTTATCCTCGTATCGTTTAATGGTGGGTGAAAAAGAGATTCTTGAGGCAATTTGTGCGCATCTTTGACATCAATCAAACCGGAAAACAACGATGACTGATGTTGACTGATGTCAACGTTTTTTCGGTAAAAAGACAAGATAAAACACGAGCAAAAAAAACGCGAACTTGACATGTTATTGCCGTTTTCAAAATAGTTGGCGCCTGTTCTCACGACGTCAAATTTTTGCATGAATCAATCTCGACCTCAGAAACATGATTGTGGACTCAAATGTTCACCGAATTCTTTGATTTTTGGTGCGATACAAAGCGATAAGCAGCCGTTAGTGCGCCCCATAGTTAGCTTTATATGATCACAATATTTTGAACACCTGGATATTGGAGGTTCTATGACCTTTGAAACACTATAACATAAGGAACAAAATTTGTGAGATCTATTCCTTGCAGTATTTCAAGCTATTAGGCTGCCTTAAGTGCGCCCCATGCCCAAAATCTTGATTAGGGCCCAGGTATGGTAATGAGATTGTATGAATTAAGGCTCAGAAGTGTACATGCACTCAAACTTAGTGTGTCGAGTCTTTGGGCACAAATTTCTCCCGGGGTGCACTAGGTACTATCCACAAGGACTACATGCTATAAGGATTAAGCGTTACAAATTTTGTTTCTTGAGTTATAGTGTTTCGGAGGTCATAGAACCTCCAATATCCATGTGTCCAAAATATTGTGATCATATAAAACTAACTATGGGGCGCACTAACGGCTGCTTATCGCTTTGTATCGCACCAAAAATCAAAGAATTCGGTGAACATTTGAGTCCACAATCGTGTTTCTGAGGTCGAGATTGATTCATGCAAAAATTTGACGTCGTGAGAACAGGCGCCAACTATTTTGAAAACGGCAATAATCATCTTGTCTACTCAATTTATAGACCATAAGGCTGATTTCTGAATCGATGCAGTATTCGATTTTGTTTGAACGCAGAATACAGAATCTGAACAAGACGGAAAGGAAAGGAACCATCGGCCCGGACCGCCTTCCTCATCACCATTTCCTTTTTGAGTTTCAAACGGTTCGGCAACTTGGCTCTCACATTGCCACGAATAGGCCCCCAGAATCTCCTGCAGAACCCCACCCGGCCTGACGCCCTAATTGACGCTATCATTTTGCCATGATTGACGCTATTTCGGACCAGGATCGTCACGTGAAATCGAAAAATTTTCCAAAATTTTCTTCAAAATTCAAATGTTGGTGTTCTTTTTCCATTTTTTTCCGGTGCTCTAAAATTTTTTTGGTTTGGTGCTGGTGCGCCGACTCCTGCCGACTCAAATGACGCTATAAACGGACAAGGACTAAGGATTTTGACTGAAAATGACGCTATTTTAGGACCAGGAAATCGTCAAAATCGGGCCCAAAATGACGCTATTTCGGGTGAGGTTCTGCAGGAGATTCTGGGGGCCTCCACGAATGGAAACCTGCGCTGGATCATATTGATGCCCCGACCCGCTCGTTCACTGGTGCTGCCTTCCATAATTTGTTCTCAGAATACCTCACCCCCATGAAGCCTCTCCAAGAGAATAACATCATATTCTTCTCCACCCCCTTCCGTTTTCTGTGTTCCAGTTCGATGCCACACTCCGAATTATTTGAGGGCAAATGGCTCGCATGAAGCAATGGACATGGTGAGTTCGACCATCCTTATAATGTAGGCGCCATCCCCTGGAAAGGTGCGACCCTCGAGTTCAAAAGGATGTGAGTCATTGTATATCCCGACATTGAACCCCCCATTCCCATCTGTTTTGACAAGAGACAGGTTTTGAATTTCTTCACTTCCTTTCTTTCTTTTGTAATTGACCAAATTAACTACCAAAACAGTAGGCGCTGTAAGGTTTGCGTCGCCCCGACCACAAACCTTGAAGCACAGAGAAACACTAAGCAAGTAGTAATTTAAATCATTTTGGTCCATGCTTTCACAAGTTCCTGGATTTTCTTGCAACCTGCCGGTGATACAGTTTGACTGCAAAAAATGCCAATAAAGACCATTATTCTAAAGTCATAACCTTATAGGTCTTCAGGGAAAGAAATTCCTTACATGTCGAAGGAGGTTGCTTCGCCATTGAGTTTTGCACCACTTGTCGAAGGATCGTTGAACAGAGATAGTCAACACGAGGGGTGGAAGATGTCCAACAGCAGGTGTGTTGTTGGACTTGGGAATCTTTGAGCAGTCAGCAGTATGCAGATGATGATATTACCGATAGCTCAGAAAGAGACAGGATTTGCACGATGGGAAGTACAGTGATGTCGTATTTTGTCAAGTAACATTTTTTGCGCAGGTTGGACGACGTATAGGGTACCCTAAGCGTGTGAATTCAAGAAAACTAACACTCGCCTTCACGCACCCAACAACTATACAAGATCAATAATCTCTACATGCCTAAGATATGAAGACCGCAAAGATCCAGGAATGGCATTGTCTTGTTCGTTGGAATGTCGTTCTTTAAGTTCTTGTGCCTAGGCAATGTATGATGCACCTCTCACAAAATGAGCAGCGGGACCTTGACGACGCAAACTACCTATGTTAGCTGTCAAAGGAAGTAATAATTAGCAAATTGTCGTCAATTGTGAATCGCTTGACTGACCCGCTCTCCGTTCCCATCCTCTCATCTTGGCCTTCTTGTCTCCCTTCAACGAAAGACTTCGGTCGAGAAATTTGTTGACTTTTGAGGACGGGACCATGGCCGCAGATGCTCGTGGGGCAGTGTCGGGTTTGGGTAGGGTTCGAAACAGGCGGGAACTAGTTGAGTTAGTGGGTGGATACGATTAGTAAAACATGGAGTGAACGAGTGATCAACGAACAATAGCGAATGCAAGTATTTGTAGAAGCAGTACACAAAACGTACCCAATAATATGATCCCTCGCAATGCCACCCGAACGTTTTCTTCGTCGGGTTTTCTTTTCTTGGAGTTTTTTAGTGGTAGATAATCCGGTAAAAGACAGGTTGTTATTTTTCGACTGGTTTTTTTGGCTGCCGCTGCTGAAGGCAGAAGCGAAGAGATAGTCTGGGAGGTGGTTCGTTTTCAGTTTCGGCATCGAGGATTTTGCATTTAAGGTAGACTTGGATTTGGATCTGGGAGGTGACGAATCGACGGAGAACATTTCTGCGTCAGAGCCCTCCTCGTGTTCGTCTTCGTGACCGCCGTCGTCATCCTCATCGACTACCATCTCTTTGTCGTCTTCGTCTTCGTCAACATCTTCCCTCGTCTCAGCGTCGATATCGTCTTCGTCAACATCTTCGTCAACAGATTCTCCCTCCTCCACACTGTCAACCTCATTTCCGCTTTCCTCTTCTTCCTCTTCTTCCTCAGCCTGCTGCATAGCGCGAAGCATCCGCTTTTCGACGTCGTTTTCTCCATCCTCTTCTTCATCTCCCTCTCCGCCGTCGTCCTCTTCTTCCTCAGCATTGTCACTGACTCTTCTACTCTTGACTGCCTTGAGCTCTTCCCTTTCCCTCTGCTGTTTCCTCTCTTTTAATATCCTCTCCCTCTCCCGCCTCTTGTCCTTTCTCATCTTTTTCCTCGCTTCTTCGACCTCTCGTATCTCCGCATTCCTTTTCCTGAATGCGCCTTTACTCTCTGTGAGAGTCAGCGTTTCTGGCGCTTCATCGTCATCCGAGGAGTCAGCAGAGTGATTGTGCGCCATATCGTTGGAACAGTAAAGCTCATAAGATTTGAGCGCTTAATTTGAGGTGCTAAGATAAGATCATCTTTCGACATAACTTCACGTGGCCCCTGCGTAGTTCTATTTGCCTTGTTCTGAGTCCATAACTCCATCTAAATATCTATCTATCTATCTACCCTTTCCAGACAGCCTCGATGATACTATGTATACTGATATTTCTCAGTGTTATGTTGCATTGTCTATCTAACGTCCATCGGCGACATCTTTTGACTGTCAGTATACCTTGCCGCCCAGGCCCCAATCACACTTCTGGAAATGACTCCTGCATATTCTTCAGCCAACTATAGCTGCGTAATCGGGCCTTTGTTCTCCATCCGTGTTCTATAAACATAGCAATCCTGATGCTAGCCCTTGCAGTATGGCTACAGTCATACACGCATCTCCGATGTTTCAGAACAAGCCTTATCGTGCCGCTCGCCACCTTCTGTTCGTTTTCTCTACGTTGATAATTCCCGCTCGTTTCATTGATCGCTTCCAGATAAGTTCTGAGCGGCACGATTCTCCATTGAAATCGGTGTATCCGGGACGATTTAACGCACTGGCCTTGGCATGGATATATAAGTAGAGCCTTTAGTGGCACTATTCGGTCTCCCAAAAGAACCATTCTTGCCCAAAACGTGTCTGACTTTTACAATATGCTTCCTATTCTCAGCTTGCCTCTAGTCATCGATATTGCTCTATACTACTGCATCTATCGAACGTTCAAGTGGCTTTTGAGCCCTTATATCTTTCCCCAATTTCGCCACATTCCTGGACCTACATCGCAGTCGTGGTTTAAAGGTAAGCAGACCTATCGTCTTCAGCTCCTTCAAGGATGCTTACCTCAAGGGATCAAAGGAAACCTTGGCCAACTATTTAATGCCAAAGGATTACCATTTCACCAACAGCTGGTCGACCGTTTCGGTGGTATGGTCAAGATATACGGATTCTTCGGGGTAGGTTTTTCTTGTCTCGCTTCTTTTCGCGATCATAGGTTTTCCGTGTTCATCGCAAGTCATGACCGTCAGACAATGCCTGAACCTGACTTCCAAACCTTTTGCAGGACGAACAATTATATGTGTCCGACCCCCACGCACTACAAAGCATTATTGTGAAGGACCAAGACGCATTTGAAGAGACAGCTGTGTTTATTGAGTATGTCGTTGATCTATCTCGCTGATTGTGGGGTCTTTGGCTTTGGACTCATCGCGGTGACATCCTTCAATAGTACGAACAGAGTTATATTTGGGCCTGGTAAGTTTGTCCAAGTATTAATTGTGGCGTAAAACCATTTTTACCATGGTCTGTGCAATTAATAGGTCTTGTGAGCACCACCGGTATGTTTTGTTTTTACGCTATTGGAATTAGGATTTTAGCTCACTGAGACCAACGCACACTTATTCGTTTGTCGTAAACCGGGAATCCAATGCGGACAGGCGATGTACACAAGAAGCAGCGTAAAATAGTCGCTCCAGTCTTCTCCGTTCCTCAGTTGAAAAAAGTGACGCCAATAGTGTATGAAATTGCGGAGAAGGTGAGGAGATTCAGTCTCTCTGGGCGTTCCAGTGCTGCGGTTAACAATTGGTGATGCTTTTCAGCTTGCAGATGTTCTCACGCGGGAAGTTCATGCATCCCGGACAACAAAAGGAAGCAGTGTCCTAGATATGTCTGAGTGGGTGTCCCGCGTAGCGCTGGAAACAATTGGACGGACAGTGCTGGGATATTCGTTTGTAAGTCCCCGTTTGGTACCCGCCCCAGGTCCACCGCTAAGCTGATACTCACTTGCCTGCATTGCCTCAACTGTATGTTTTTTTCTCGCACAATAGGATCCACTGGACTCCCCACACAACAATCCGTACACCTCTGCGATCAAGGAACTGATGTAAGTCGTTGCCAGCTACTATGTGGTTATACGCAGTCAAACTGATATCGGAATCGGAATCATCCTCAGCCCTACTTTGTTCTCGCTTTCGGTTCTACGCCAATTTGCCCCGTTCTTGTCGCGATTAGGGACACCTTGGCTCAGAAGGAAGATCGTTGATTGGACACCGAATAAGGCAATCCAAAAGATTAAAGTGAGTGGCCTTCCTTATCCAACCACGAGGACAGCCAATCGTCCGGTGTCTCTGATCTTCACTCAGAATATGTCGGATATTATGGATAGTACGGCTAGGAGTATTCTGCGAGAGAAGCAAATTTTGATGAATAAGCCGGATCTGTATGAAACAAATTTCGGAAATGTCGAAGAAGACAAGGATATCATCAGCGTTCTTCGTGGGTTTTATTTCTCTCCAGCTACTGACTCCCCTTGGTTGCTTATGATAACTTACGCCCAGTTCGTGCGAATGAGAAGGCTGCAGTGGGAGAAAAGCTTTCAGAGTCGGAGTTGACCGGTCAAATGACGTGCGTACCAGCCACCCGAGATTTTGGGATTTTTGAAAAGACTAGGGTTTACTTGGGCTTTTTTGATTTTAGAGTTCTTATTTTTGGGGCACAGGACACGACGTCTTCAGCGTTATCGCGGATTTTGCACTTGCTTGCTATGAATACTCATATACAGGATAAGGTCATACCTCAGTTTGTGAATCTTAAATACGCACTGAATTTAAACATGCATAGGTTCGAGAAGAAATTACTGCTGCTTTCGCAGAGGTAGACAGACTAGGGTATGACTCGATTTCTGAACTTGCTTGGTTGGACGCCGTGGTCAAGGAAACCCTCCGTTTGTAAGTCATCGCAAATCCGACGTTCTCCTTTGACTCACGAACTCATCTAGATATCCCCCAGTTCCCTTTGTACGCCGGACGTGAGTAGACTCCAATCCTACTTGTTTTTCCATATTGAATCGGAAGATACATTCAGGGCTACGAAAGAGAAGACCTTGGTATATTCAACCAGTAATTCTGACACTGCCGACGCCTCTGTCATTGTACCAGCCGGTACAACGCTTTTTGTTGGGATCGCAGGAGCGAACCGACTCGAGTCCGTTTGGGGTGTTGATGCAAAGACATGGAAACCTGAGCGTTGGCTGTCCGATAGAAACCCAGCTACAATGCATTTGCCGGGTATCTACTCTGGGATGTGAGAACGTCCTTAATATGATTCTGGCAGTATGTATTCTGAGTTGTTGACCCTTACTCTCCCCTCAGGTTGTCGTTCTTCGGAGGAGGTCGATCTTGCATGTAAGTCTCAGGTTCGCCATCGAGTTTTCCGCCGCTGACTTGAATTTGAAGTGGATACAGGTTCGCTTTGATGGAGATGAGTGAGTGTAACCAATGTGCTACGAATCATTTCTCTTATATTTATCTGCTAGAAATCATTCTCGCGACGCTTTTGCGTCGGTTCAAATTTTCTTCGACCAATGACGAAATTATCTGGAACCTCTCACAAATCATCTCTCCGTCAGTTCGTCGTCCTTCGACAATCAACGATAGTGGCTTTGAAGAAGAAAAGGGTCTACCTATGGTTGTCGAATTGACGACTGAAGAATAATTGGAGTGATCACTGCGCCCCTCTCATGTTCCCGTCATAACTTCAGGTTGGCATAGGTTGGCATCGGGAAACATACGTGGACACACGCCACTTTATAATCTTCTGACTGACCATCTTCACACATGCAGAAATACAGTACACACAGCAGCAGCCCAGCTGTAATAATGAATTGGATTCAAACGACACGTTCCTCAGAACAATTATCACACTCGCTTAGTGCCTCGTTTTGTTCTTCTATGATTTGGGCAGTCAGCACTGCAGTGTTACCTGGTTTCACCAAGTTGGGTGACACTCTGACTAGTCCGACCTTTGTTTTTTACAAAGAGAAGTTGCTATTGCCAGCTGGTCGCCTACATGAACAAAGTCAAAGCGCCACTCTATTTAAATTTTGTTTCCTTTCTGAGTACGTACATAAGCGTTGAAGATAAGATTAGAACCTATAATCGGTCAGAACAAATGGGGTAAGCAGTCACATCATAAACGAGGTCACATCCTTAAAAGGGCACGAGTCTGAGTCTATTTGACCACCCTTTCCATTCTCTACCTCTTATTTTTATCACCCGTAGTGGTATAACCATGGAGAATTGAGTTGCTGAGGCCCGCAAGGCCCTCCCCTTCTCAATAGGTTTTGACATCACCATGGAATCTACCGAGGAACTACAGCAAAACGAACTTACTGCGCTGAAATCCATCTACGCCGAAGATTTCATAGAAATACCACCACCAAAGGCCTGGAAGGTGAGTCAGGAGCCGACGGAGGAAAATACAGTGCTTAATCTATGCTAGGGCGCAGCACGTCTTCCAGAGTTTTGTATCCGAGTTCCGCATCTCAATCCGGATTTTGCGAAGAAGATATGTTTTGATTTGCATGTTATGTGAGCGTTTTGTACACATTCCCATCTACAAAGCAATCAAATTCATACGGCTGTTCAGTTTCCCCAAAACCTACCCTATAAAGACAAATCCCACCTTTACCATTCAGAAACCTATCAATGGACTTTCTAATGAACAAATAACGAAACTATCGCATGCTATCCATGCGGAAGCTCAGATGCATCGAGGGTCGGAGATGGTCATGGAAGTAAGTACGTAGTTCTTTATATTCTGACTCCCTTTTAATCTTTCCTCCAAGATCGTTACATTTTGTCAAGATTGGATGACGGACAATGTTATTCCAGCTACAGAAGCTCCGGGATCGTTAGCTTTACAAATGAATATACGTGCTGAGGACGAGGAAAAGGTGCGTCGTTGAGTTCCTTTCCCTCTATGCCTGACTAAAGCATGTTATAAGGCACGTAAACAGAAGGCCGAAGCACTGGCATTAGAGGAGTTGGAGAAGGAATCCAAACATGCCCAAGAGCTCGAAGAACAGCTCATGCTCGACTCTGCGAGGCAGCAGGTTGCCCGGGAGAGAGAGTATAAGGCTCGCAAGAGAGCAAGCTCTGAAGCGACTGAAGTGCCCATGACCAACGAATATCCGACGGAATCATTTGCCGATGAAATCGAATTCCAGGGGATTCGTTTCGACACCGTGAAATACTTCCACCCTCGTATCGGTACGCCCTTCCTCTTAATTTAACATCATTTGTGACCAAGCTTTATCCCTCGTAGAATGCCTGGGCGTAACCTACGCTGCTGACCCTGTATGCGAGGATGTGAATGCCACCCTGCCGTTACAGCTTCATGTAGTCACATTCGATACCCAATATTACTCTACTACTCAAGGTAAGGATTACATGTCTCTTGCACTCATTTTGTTCTTAGGCTATGCACAGGGCGCAAGAAACTTAAACAGCTAGAGGCTGAAATACGACGTTTAACCGCTATCAGACATCCAAACATTGTCCGTACATTGGCCGTGAAACTTTATCTTCCCAACTCCAATTCTCCCTCCCGTTTGTCCATCCTCTCAGAACAACCACCCGCACTAACTCTTGAAGACGTTTTACAAGACTGTGACTCTCTGCGCGAAGAGCGTGCATCCGTAAGATCCTATAGTCCTTGAAATAGAGTTCACGCTAATTAACAAGGCGTTGCAGGATTATTTGGGTCAAATACTAGCTGGGCTCAATGTAATCCATACGGCAGATCTTGTTCATCGAGGTATACCACAGTGTCATGGTCTCCCTTATCACCTACTTAGATTCCGAACTAGGTATCGCTCCTCGATGTATCGGATTGGAATCTCGAAACTCTCAGTCCAATTCAAAACTTATACGCATCTTCAAAGTAGGATATTATACGCGTCTGGTGGACTTTCACAAATCAAACGAGTTCCGAACAACGCTCAGTTTCAATAATGAAGAAGCTCAAATTCCCGATGCCTGGTTCGTGTCCGAAAACCTTTACCTGCCGCTGACTCCAACTTGAGTACTTTTACAGGTTATCGAAGGACGTGAAGAATGAATCTTCTTTACTCTACACTCGTCACCGCGATATCCATTCCGTCGGTATCGTGTTCATGCAAATGTTATTAGGACTTGATGTTATTCGGCGTTTCTCTGACGCCCATACGGCGATGAAGCTCTGTAAGCGGGCACTATGATGAGATGGAAGGCTCTACCGCTCACGCCCTGAAATACCTAGCCTTAATTTCCGCAAAGTTACAGGCCCTCGCTTTGAATATGCTTTTCCCCCCAAAGAAGAACCATATATCTTGTTTGAGTTTACTAGCTGATTTGGCAGAGACTGCCATCAGTGATAACCTTCGTAGTCCTACAGTTCCTATTACGTCCGCCGGTTCGCATTTCATTTTTTTGAAGCATTGAGATTCCATTGAATCCCATTTCAAGATTTGAAAACTCCCATGCAGCTTGGATATGGCAGTTCCCCGGAGATCGAGTACTTCAGACCAATGGGCTTGAGACATACGAGCCGATGGAAGGAAGATTGGGAAGAATTAGAGCTACTGGTACGTGTGATGTCTTTCTTGATTCGCCTTCGATATAACCGGTTTTGCAGGGGAAAGGTGCTTTTGGCTCCGTGGTGAAGGCGCGCAATAGGATCGATAATCGAATTTACGCAGGTATCTAACATGTGTTCATTGTTCATTATGCCGCGCTTATCCTTTCTGCAGTTAAGAAAGTCCGTCTCCGAACAACGCAAAGCGACAAGATTTTCCGAGAAGTGAACGCACTTAGTCGTTTGTCCCATCGGTTCATCGTCCGGTACTATACAACCTGGGTCGAGACGTCGGAGCCTTCGTCGACTGCTGCATCTGATGACTCTGACAACGAGTTTGACTCATCGGACCTCTCCAACACTGAAGATGGCATGACCTCTGTACCAAATTCTTTATCCACTCGGCGCACAACGACCAGTACAGATGACGGACTAATATTCAGTTTGGATGATTTGGATGAACCAGGAGGTTCTAGAGGTTCCTTCCCCAGTATACATTTCAGTGCCCGTTCGTCAGAAGCACGGATTGCGGATGAAGACACGGACAGTGATGGAGATCCACTGGCGCTCGATAGTCTGTTTCACCCTCAGACTGCTCGCCCCGCTCCACCCCCACTACTACAACGAACTTTGTATATTCAAATGGTAATCATCAATATCTCGATGTTCCTACATCAGGCTTATGATGAATACAGGAATTTGTCGAACGACAAACTCTGAAGGAGGTACTTGTTCATATCAACACCATCGCTTGTTACTTGCTCACTATCATCGCAGCGGATTGATGAAGGTCTCTCTGTTGAAGAAGCTTGGAGATTATTTCAACAAATTGTCGATGCTCTTGCGCACATGTCGAATTTAGGGATCGTACGTGCTCTCACTTGAAGGCTTTAAATGCCGAGCTAAGTATTTAGCTGTGGATTTAGCTCCATCGTGACATTAAATTAACAAACATTTTCATTGGTATGTCGGTGCTTAACGGAAATGCCTCCGGTCCTTACGATTCATTTTCGCAGATGGAAATGGTGACTGTAAAGGTTCATGTAATGTCCTGACATGCATCTGTCAATTACTGACTGGGTATTTAGTGGGAGATTTTGGGCTGGCCACGTCTAGTCTTGCGGCGGTCGATCCCTCCGATGTAGCACCACGAGCAGTAGCTCCGCAAGCGGACATGACTCTGGGTCTGTCACATTATTACCGTGTTTCTACTCGTCATTCTCATATCCCTGTAGAGGTCGGTACCAGATTGTACATTGCACCGGAGGTACAATCAAGAAGGCGTGGACCTACTAATCATTCTAAAGCTGACATGTATAGTCTCGGGGCGCGTACTTTTTGGCTAATACGCTTCATATCGCTCATAGTCTCAGTAGATTGTGTTTTTCGAGATGAACTACGCGTTTTCCACTGGCTCCGAACGCATATTTGTCCTCGAAAGACTTCGGAAATCGGACGTTCAGTTCCCAGCAACTTGGGATCCTTTGCGAGCGCGTCAGCGTGAAAGTGCGTCTGGAATAGTTTTGACACCAGCATACTGACTGCCGTTTTCAGTCATCACCTGGTTACTCCAACATGAACCAAATCAGCGTCCCAGTGCTACGGAACTATCACAAAGTTCGCTAATGCCCCCACGGATGGAAGACGAGTATTTCAAGGGTGCACTTCGCTTGATGGGTACATCGTAATCCATTGTGTTTTCATTATCATTCTCTAACTCCGTGTATATAACAGCCAAACCTGATTCCCCCCATCTGCAGACTGTGCTCTCGGCTCTATTTAGCAACCCTCCAAAGCCCGTTCGAGGATTCCTATACGATCAAGACGCTGAATTACCGGAATATGCGTCTTTGAACGGTGTGGTTCAGGATCGTCTGGGAACGATATTCCGATTGCATGGCGCCGTCGATATGGACCCTCCGCTTCTCACACCAATGACGGATGGCGACGATAAAACTCAAGCTGCTTTTGTTGACCGCCACGGCGAAGTCGTGACTCTTCCAAACAATCTAATCGTCCCATTCGCAAGACTCGCTGCACGAGAGAAAGTACAAAGGATCAAACGATATCATTTGTCGAGTATATATCGGCCAAGGTATGCTTAAAATTATCTTAGTTTAATCCGGGAATTCAAGCGCTTGCCCTAGTCTTATCCCTGGTCACCCTAAAGTCTGGAAAGCTGGCGTCTTCGATATCATTACACCAGACTATTTGCATGGGCCTGTGGCCGCCGGGGCTGAAATACTTGCTGTTGCTCACGATATCTTGGAAAGCTTCCCCAACCTGACTCCTACCTATGAGGTCCATGTTTCCCATTCCGATAGTATGTTTACTAGAGTATGTTTTCCATGTGGCCTGCTCAACGTCATCGTCATCTTTTAGTTGTGTCTGTGGTTGTTGAACGTATTCCAGCTTCCCAACGGACCGCCGTGCTGGATGTCATTCAACATACCAAATCATCATCATCACAGAAGAAGGCAAATCTTCTCAAAAAAGGCTTGCCCCGTAGTCTCATCGACGAGCTGGATGTGCTTACAGATGCAGGCGAGTGATATCAGATGTCAAAATTTCAAATTTCTCAATAATAACCTTCAGATGATGATGTGGACGCTGTGATGACCCGCCTTGAAAAGATTAATCCGCCTTTGGTCGAGCAACTGCGAAGTGCTGTTGACGAAGTCAAAGCTACAATCCAACACGCCGTTTGTGCAGGCGTGACGCAACCGATATTTTTTAGGCCATTAATGCTTGGCTCCTATTTCACTCACTTCAAAGATGGTGTCTTAGTTGAGGTTGCGAAGAAGTCGAGAAGAACCGATATCTTGGCTGCTGGTGGTCGGTGAGTGCTCGAACCTGTTACCCACATCTTCCCAGAGGCGTTCTACTTAATGTATTGCTATAGCTATGACAATCTTATCAACCAGTTCACTCAACCCAAGACGAAAGGCCAGGCCAGTTATGCTTTCGGATTACAGATCGACGTTGAAAAGATTTCGGTCATGCTTGCGTTGTTCCAAAGTACCTCTGTCCAACCGCTCATTAAGGAGGCTCGCTCTTTCGGTTTTTGGAGTCCTAGAAGATGCGACGTTTATGTCATATCTTATCATTCCGGGTTCTTGCAAGAACGTCTCGAAGTCGTCGCTTGGCTTTGGCAGCATGGAATCAGCGCAGATCTCATGTACGAGTCTGGCTTGCAAGAGGCAGATCAGGAGAACCAGGTTGACATGTGCGCTCGAGAGGGAATCTTGTATGTGGTCGTTTGCACTGAACATTCTATCCATCTAATGTCCAATCATCTAGATTCACCGTCTATCCGCGTCCACGAGCCGGTCGTCGTGATATGGCTGCATTCAAAGTAAAGAGTATCCTCAAAGGAACAGAGTATGAAGGTGTGTCAAATTTGATTTTATTTTTATGCTTTAAACTCATCAATCTGTCGTTCAGTCTCTAAGGCTGACCTTATCGGATGGCTTCAGCACGAAATCGGAGAGCAGAAGCGTATCGACGCAACAACCGCATGTACTCCAGCTTCCTCCCGACTGGGTGGTCCCAGTGTCACTCAGCTTGGTCGATCCAACGTAGTTTTACCGCCAGGATCTGCAGATGTCCAACTCTGCCTCCCGCAAGAGACAAAGAAACAGCGTCGGCAAGTCAAGCAGATGTTCTTGGATCGAGGTGTGATATCCTTCGATGGGCCTGATTAAACTGTGTACTCAATCAATATATATCTAGCTTACGATGTCTCTTCGGACCTCAAAGCCACCTTCCAGAGCTCTAGCGGAATGCCTGTCGTTGCCGTCGATATCCTCCTCACTATTCGACTCTCTCACACGGAACGCCACATGGCTCGTTGACGAGGAAGTATGGAAGGGTCTGATTGGAGAATTCTCCAACACAGGATATGCTCAACAGGTGCGCGAAGCGGTTGCGAGGAAGAAGAGCGAAGGAAACAGCTGGGTTTTGCTCGTCGGTGTGAAGGAGGAAAGGGCTGGTTTGTTGAATCTACGATGATCCCTTCCCCCAACGTTTGGTTATGTCTTATGATCATGATCTCTTTCAGTTATCTCCACAAAAAACTATGTTCAACATCTAATGTATCATAATAGCCATCTTCATCCCATCTGTATTTATGCAATGTAACACTCAATCGTAATCTTTCACATCGGTGCATAAGTCGCAATCAGTGAATCTCAACTGTCCTTCCGTTTGCTGCTCAAGCATAAGGATGGTGATCAAAGGGCCTTTCGGACACATTCCTAATGGTTCTCTAAAGCTGACACAGAACGATGCCATGCACGATACGCATCTCACGGAGTCGTCCCCGAAAACTTCTTCAACTGCGCCAGTGGTGACTCCGCAGCTGCTGTTGGAGAGGCGAACCGCTTTCGATGGAACATTTCCTGTCTACCTTGATGCAAAGAACAACTTCACTGCGAAGTTTGAGCGAATAACGAGGAAGAAATATTTGCCTGAGTCTGAAGAAAAATTATCTTTGGGCCTATGTACAATAACACATACTAGGATAATCATCAAATCCGTCCCACTTTCTTTCACCGGCAAGATATTCGATGGTTCTGCGCCTTCAAGACAATCAACATTGTTATTAGTTCTCCTCCAACTGTTCTAACTCCCAATCTTCAGAAGATGCTTCCTCTAGTGTTGCTTGCCACTCGTGACCCCAAGTCTTGAGTTCTTCTTGGTTGAACTGGTGCATGATCATAACCACTTTCTCGTATGAGAAATATCCGCCTAGGGTATCCTCGTCAAAAAATGGCACCTTGCGTGGTCGCCTCCCTGGCTTGCGTGGTTGTTTCGCATCTGTTTTCATCGCATTGTGCATATTGAGTCCAATGGAACCATAGAAGAGAGAGCATTGGAGGGCGATCAACCATGAATTGAAGGCGCTGAAGAAGGGCTGCGGAAAGGGTTGCCAATTCCCAGCATGAACAATTATTAATTTCCTCCCTTTAAGAAAACAATCACCCTGCTCATGCCACTTCTCATAACGATGATCTCCGGTAGAAGGAAAACGGACCTTCTCGGTCGGACTGGAATAAAGGGAAACCAGTAAGAGAATAACGTAGAAGACAGACTCCAAATCGTGGCGGAACCGATGTGGACCTTGCCAGTCAGATGAGTGTTGTTCATGTGCCATGTACGGTTTGGTGCCCATTCGAAACTTGGATGTCGAGCCTTCTTTCCGCTCATCCAACCAAATCACAAGATCCCAGTCAATCAAAACTCCGTATTTCTGCCTGTCCTTTTCGCGAACCATGATATTACCAATACTGATATCGCGATGAAGAATTCGAGGATATTTCCAACCCCAGTGATGACCTAAAAATTTCGTGTGAGAAAACTACGAACGAGAATAATAAATGGGAGCGCACACTGAACGACATCATAGAAAACTTGTGCATATTCCTTCGAGGACTTCAAATCCATCAGCGGTTGCAATTCATCCTGGATCGAGAATCGCAGGAGACACTTCTGATAACCATCGTCGAACTTCTCTTTGAGACTAGCTTGTTGACGGAACTTGATATCAGAATTCTGATAAATCGTAGGCAAGTAGTTCATGCCCCGTGTATATTCCAAATGGATGTGCAGACTTGTCGCTGTATCCCAAGAATATTTGCTCGGACAATCTACTAATATCATGAGGAACTGGAATAATGCCAGGGAAAGTCACAGTTCTTGCACGAACAGTGATAATAAGTGCATTCCACTTGAATGATGACGGTTCCACGACCAAGTCTATCATCAGAGAATAATACAACCGGTTCAGAACGTACAGTGCGCATTTGGGGATCCTTGAAAAGAAAATCAAAGAGAAGTCCTCCAGCGAAGTCGGTAATTCCATTCAACAAAGGCTCATTAGATGCAACAAGCTCCAGAATGTTCTGTGAAGCCATTAGACTCGAAGAATTCATCACGAATTTGGGCCGTCTTCAGGCGCTGAGGCTCGTAATGTTGGAGCATACTCCGTACGTATTGATATAGCCGCAATCCCGTACTCTGTACGTACTGACATAACCGCAATCCCGCTCGAGACGGCGTTATTACTTTATACTGTACAGTTTACGTTTTACCTAGGTCACACAGTTTGGAGTCTCGAGTGCTCCCTCAGTTGCTATATTATCAACTGAGGTGAGCACGAAGTATATCTGTATACATTAACTACATGCTAACGTTACCGTAGATTTACTAGGCTTAACAGGTAGATATATAGTTGCTATATTATCAACTGAGATTTACTAGGCTTAACAGATTATGAGACTCGTACTCTAACAAAAGAAGAAGAAAAGTTTAGCACCGAAAAGTCCATCTCTCAATTGAAAGCAGTAACCTACAAAAATGTCGTTCGGAAACAGCCCGAACATACCCAGACTCCCGGACGAGAAGCAGCTCGTCGGTGAAGATAATTGGAGACCGTTTAAGCGCGAGATCATGTTCGCAGTGCAGTCAAAGGGACTCGCAGGATACCTCGATGGAACGATAGCCCGACCGAGCAAATACCCAGGCCCGATATATCCTCCAGCACAACCCACCACACCTCTATATAGCCCGACACCATGCCCAGAGGAATGGGAGATCCGTGACCGGCTCGTCGCAGGGGCGATTGTATCAAATATCACGGACCCTGTTGGCTTAGGGATAGATGAAACAAAGCGTGCATCGGATATATGGCTAGAACTAATTAAGCGTTTCGAGAAGAGGGACAAGCAACGCATTCACCTTGCTGATACAAGCCTACGCCAAGAAAAATATGACCCCGACACGACAATGGAGGAGCACGAGAAAAAGATGAGGAATCTACTGAAGAAAGTGCACGACCTGGGAGGAACTGCAACCGATGCACAATTCCGTCGGATCGTGATCTCCTCAATGCCACCAGGATGGAGGCAGGACGTGCGAAGCGTGCCAGGAACATCAAGCGCGGAGGCCTTCACATACCTCCACACACTGTGGTACGAGAAGGAAGAGGAACGAAAGGAGGAGGAAAGGGACACAAAGCGAGTGAAAGCACTTATGGCAGCTGTCACGAAGCGGCAGAGGCGGAGTGACTAACGGAGCGGGAAAGCGGAGCGACTAAGCAGAACGGCGTGGCGGAGCAACTGAACAAGGCAACAAGGCGGAGCGACTAAGCAGAACGGCGGCAGGCTGGTCCCAGATAATGACAGAGATATATTGAGTATCGTAGTCATAGGTAATAATAAGTAAGCACATACCTGGTCCCAGATAATGACAGAGAGGTCAAGATAAGGGACCAGGCTGTGGAGGGTTGGCTATATATACATAATCCGGTCTGCGAGAAACAACGATGTAATACTGTACAGTTTAGGAACAAGGAAGGTGGCAGAAGCCAATAGAAGGAGAAGATGGGTCAGGTGGATCAGTAATCGATGGGGGTTTGACAGTGATGGGATGATGTATCGTACAAGTAAAGGCGTCAAGACGGTGAGAAAAGGAAAATGATAGGGGCTGCGTACTTTATGACATTACCCCCCTCCTTATGACCATTGCCCTCGATGGTCAAGGCTTTGCCGCTGTTGGGTGTTTTTTATGAAAGGCCCGAACAATTTTTGGTGCTCGACTGAGGTTGGCTGCGGGTTCCCAAGAGTTGTGCCCTGCGTCGTAACCTTTCCACTTAACCAAATATTCCAACTTCTTCCATCGAACCCGGCTGTCTAAGATCTCCTCTACTTCGTATTCCGGTTCGTCTTCATCCTCTAAGTATACCGGCTCTGGTGGTGTTGGTATTTCGCCATTAATGGAGTTACCTTTCCAGGGGTATAGTTTATCGACATGGAAGACGGGATGGAGGCGATCTAGGGATAGGGGAAGGTCAAGGCGGTAGTCTAAAGGGCCAATTTTCTCCAGAATGCGATAAGGGCCAAGCTGTCGATCTCCTAACTTTTCACTGGAGAGTTGAAGGTTAATGTCCTCCGCACTGAGCCAGACTAGGTCTCCAACTTTAAATTGATGAGCTTTCCGCTTCCCGCGTTCGTATCCCTCCTTCTGTTGTTTCTTTCCTAGGTGTAAGGCAGCTCCGGCATCTTGTCGCGCTTCTCGGAGAATCCGTATACGGTCATCCACAGCTGGAATACCGCTGCGTTGGCCCACTGGGATATTGAACAGGGGAAGATAGCCGTAGGTTAGCTCGAACGGGGACATGCCTAGCGCAGAATGAGTCCGTGAGTTAATCACAAACTCCGCCATGGGAAGGTGCTCTGCCCAGTCATCTTGTCGTCGTCCTACATAGAGGCGGATGTATTTCTCTACTTCCTGATTTGCTCGTTCGGTTTGGCCATTAGACTGAGGACGGTATCCGGAGGTTAGATCTGATTTAATTCCTAGCCTAGCGAGAAGGGATCGCATGAGTTTAGCTGCAAACTGGGGTCCGCGGTCGGATTTAAAGTGAAGAGGAAGACCATGGAGACGGAAGATCTCTCGGTAGTAAATATCGGCAACGCCTTCGGCTGTGATGGAGCTGGTGCAAGGAATGGCGTGAATTTGTTTTCCATACAGGTCTGTGCAAACCAAGACAGCATCGTAGCCTTGGGAGTTAGGTAGCTGTGTTATCAGGTCAACCCCTACCTCTTCCCATAGACCGGATGGTACATCTAATGGTTGAGTTACGGCCCGTGGGTGCCGCTGGATCTTCTTACGGGCACAAACCTCGCATCCCTCAACGTATTTTTCCACAAAAGAGCGCAACGTAGGCCACCAGAAATGGGTACTGACCAAGTCGAGTGTCCCGTGTAGTCCGGGGTGTCCTGCAGTTGGATTGTCGTGGCATTGACGGAGTACCTCAGTGCGTAGGTCGTCGTTTGCTGGTACGTATACTCGACCTCGGTAGTAGACCAACCCATTGTCTTCTTCCCATTCGGCTATCCCATTGGCCAAGCGCTGTAGTCCGTGCTCTTTGACTGTTTTGAGACCCTCCAATACCTGTGCCTCCCGTTCTGAGGCTTTCCGGATACGATCCTCTAAGGGGTTCTGTAGGATCGAAGCTGCAATTTTTACGAAGTGGCCAGGTTTAAGGACTGTCTGTTGTCGGTTATCATCGCTGTCCGATACATGATGAACTGCCATGCGGGAGAGAGCATCAGCTTGGGTGTTTACTCTGCCAGGGCGGTGGATCATATGAAAGTCAAACCGTGACAGATAGAGGGCCCATCGGGCTTGTCGGCGGGTGAGGTCTTGTGCAGTGCGCCAGAATTCGAGGTTCGAATGGTCCGTAATGATGTCGAATGGTTGAGGGAGTCCTTCTAGAAAGTTCCTCCAATCCTTCAGTGCTTCAATGATAGCAAGCATTTCTCGATCGTAGATTTCGTAGTTCCGTTCCGCTGGCTGCATGGATGCCGATCTGAAGGCTACCGGATGCCATTGGCCATCGTCTTGCTTCTGCATAAGGGCGCCTCCCGTGGCAAAGCCTGATGCGTCTACCTCGATTCGAGTAGGCCTGTCTGGTGTCCATAGAGCAAGGATCGGTGCGGAGATGAAGGCTTCTCGAAGGGTATCAAATGCTTTCTGTCGAGTGTCGGTCCAGGTAAAGCTGGTGTCTTTCTTCGTCAGGTCGTTCAGAGGTCGTGCTATTTTGGCAAAATTCCGGATAAAGCGTCGGTAGAAGTTTGCAAATCCCAAGAACCCTCGTAGTTCCCGAAGATTAGTAGGGACTGGCCAGTCGCGAACAGCCGCTACTTTTACCGGATCCATTCTCACCTCCCCTTCTGAGATGATGAGTCCGAGGTATTCAATCTGTTGTTGTTCAAATTCGCATTTTTCTGGTCGTAGATAGAGGTCGTGCTTTTCTAACCGGGTTAATACTTCCCGTACCATTCGTTGGTGTTCCTCGAGATCGTTACTGAAGATAAGGATGTCATCTAGGTAGACTGCCACCTTGCCGGCTGCAATGAGATCAGCAAATATAGCATTCATAAGTGCTTGGAACGTGGCAGGGGAATTTGTGAGACCAAAGAACATGACCTTAGGCTCGAACAAGCCTCGGGTTGTTGCGAACGCGCCTTTCCATTCATGCCCCTTCTTAATCCGTATGTTATTGTAACCCCAGCGGACATCAAACTTCGTGAAGTATTTGGCTCCCTGAAGTCGGCTAATGATGTCAGCAACTAATGGGAGAGGGTATCGGTTCTTCACAGTGTACTCGTTCAGTTTCCGGTAGTCTTGTACGAAGCGGAGTTTCCCATCCTTCTTCTTTACGAAGAAGACCGGTGATGAGATTGGTGATTTTGAGGGGATGATATAGCCTTTTCGTAGGTTTTCTTCTAGGAAACGATCCAACTCCTCCTGCTCATTTAGGGACATGGGATAAATCTTGGTACGCATGGTTGCCGGTGCTCCAGGTACGAGATCAATCGCATGGTCCCAAGGTTGGTGGGCAGGTAATCGTTCGGAGGCGGATTCTGAGAAAACCTTCTTGAAATCACGATACTGCTCAGGGACCATTTCTTCGAAGGTTTTAACGGGTTTGTCTCGGTTGGCTTCCTCTGCTAGCTGCTGGGAGTAAGTGAATCCTGCGGCGCACCAGACTTCCTCCGTCTGTTCCTCTAGAATTCCTGCTTTTACCCATGCCCGGCGAGTTTTATGATTGGCTCGAATTCGGTGTATTGGTGGTTCTTCCACCGCTGCTGATTCACTCGGTTCAAGGGTCGCTTCTAGTGGCACCTCAATGTGGGGGTTTTCTGCGGGAGGTTCCAGTTCCGGGAGTTCGAGGATCGGGGTTTCTGTGTGAGTGGCGGCTAGATGAGAGTACAAGATCTCCTCGTCTGGGACTTCTTCTATCGTTACTCGAGGAGGCTTTACTGAAAGTCGTCCTTTCTCCCAATCAATCTCCGGATTTACCTTCCGTAGCCAGGGGAGTCCAAGGATGATGTCTTCACCTCCTAGGTTGGTGATCAGAAAGTCCATCCATCGCTCTTGATTATCCACTGTGAGTGCTAGACGTGCAAAATGGGTTATCCGTCCAGCTCGGTTAGGTGTTCCATCGATATTAAAA